AGACTGAAACATATCAGATAAACATTTTCTGATCACTCCTCAACCTACTGTAGGGTGGAGTAATGATTTCAGAATTTTCAAGCTGTTCTGTTTACGATGAACCTCGAAATTGAGGAACGGTACGTTTAGCAACTCTCCCTATATCCGAGCCACCACTTAAAAGAGAGTTTGTAGTATTAACACATTTTTGAACTTAGGATCTGGATAAGGTTTTATATTTTGGCGAATATATAATCCAACTTGATTAATGTCCGTCTTTAATATCTTGGAGTTCTGAAAACCTTGGTTTCAACTGCACCGTGATGAGCCGAGGTATTTGAGAAGTAGTTTTGATTCATCAGACAGTAATTGAGTGGTTCCTGAAATTTTCAGTTTCTAGTGGAATATACCTTCGAGTAACTTATCAAATACCTTGCTAAAGCCTACAAAGACAACACACACTAACTTCCCACGGTCTATTGACTTTGTCCATCTCTCTTGATATAGAGACGTTTGTTATGTAAGATAATGATTTTCGGTTACTATAGGTTAACTTTCTAGGAAGTTATTTGTTTTCAGGAGGGTAAATATGGCCTTTTTGGTTATTCTTATTCTTATTTTAATGACGGCACTGGTGAAGCTAAATGTTTTATCGCCTTGAAGAAATTGTCTTAATCTTGACTTGCATCCCTTCAGTCGGCAGGCAACTCACCTTGGCTAAGTAATAATTTCAACATCATATTCTTCAGGGCATTTAATCTCAAGATCTATCTATGTGGTTCATTCAGTTGTTTTTTCCATATCTTGAGTGTGTAGAGACGTGATCGGATTCCACAGAGACTAGAAGATTTGGAAGTTATGTATTTTAGTCTTATCTGTTATAGTAAGTCAAAGTAAATATATTTCTTCGTAGGATTACTAATGTAAATCCCGATAGTATAGAAGTCAAACAAAAGACTGTTCTAGATGAAGAAGTATATTTATTGCTAGCCCCGTGATAATGAAATAATATCGAGGCTAGGGTACACGAGGGTCTAACAACCAGCTAGGAGAAGAGCAGAGTGGGAATGGCACGCTTGGTGCGCGAGAGACAGTCTTTAGGACAGATAAACAAAAGGAGTACAATATAACAGAGTCAAGCACAATAATAAATGTTCATATTCCAGCAGTTGTGTTTTCTTCGTAAAAGTATACCACTACATTAGCCCCCCCCCCCTTAGAAAGGGTTTACATTTTCGATACCTAACGGTTTCGTGCTGGGGGGCTGGTCAGCTAACGGGCGATTGTATTGCGGAAGGGTTGATGGACAGGAAGCGACCGATGAAGCCCGAGTTGTCATCGAATGTATTCTACGTTGAACTGTACCGATAGTAACGTACCGAGTTTAGTGCACGGGTTAGCATGCCACATCAGGGGGGCGCGAATCCTGAGTCTGAAGATTGCTCTTGTAGGGGTTTGTATCAGAAAATACTGCAGAAGTAGGACGGAACCAGATTGAGTGAACTCAAGAGGACGAGCGGTAGGGTTTCGTACCAATTGCTGTTTTCGTGTGCTCGAAGAGCACTTTTAAGTTGGCGATGAAACCATTTGAAGATGGGTGGCAGGTGGTAGTGCGTGAACGCTCCGCTCCAAGCAGCCGGGTTAGCGAGGAAAATAGTTCGGACTCGAACTGTTGTCCTCGGTCAGTTGTGACAGTTGAGGGACAACCGTAATGCGCTATCCACCGTTCTACCAAGTGGTGAGCAACTGTTTCCACAGTGATAGAAGTGATGCAAATAGCTTCGGGGCATCTTTTGAAACGATCGATGCACGTGAGTATGTGATCATAACCATGCGATGGTGTCAACTGACATACAATTTCAATATGAACATCATTGAAGCGAGCATCAATCGTAACAAAATGTGCCGATGGTGGTGGCTACGTGCCTGCGCACACTTTATCGTTGACACTGTAAGCACTGCTTTACCCACATACGGACATCTTTATTCATGGACGGCCAGACGTATCGTGCAGCGATGAGACGTAATGTGGCTGCGATACCTGGATGAGACAAACCATGAAGGGCATCGAAGACGAGATGACGATAAGCAGAGGGTACGATGGGTTGCGGTAGACCAGCAGAGGTATCACATACGGTAGTGCCTGAGATAGTAGCTAGGGGCAATTCCTGACACTGAAGGGAAGTAGTTTGTTGTGCTTCTGAACAAGAGGGATCATTTGCTTGGGCGGTGGCAACAGCAGGAAAATCGAGCACTGGTAAAGTAACTGCATTCACTTGAATACGTGACAAAGCATCGACAACGTAGTTCGACTCGCCTTTAATACGACGAAGGTCTGTCATGAACTGAGAAATTTAGTCCAAATGTCTGCACTCTCGTGGTGAGTAGCGGTCAGACTTGGTATGCAGAGCATACGTTGGAGGCTTATGGTCGGTGAAGAGGATACAATTACAGCCTTCTCTGCGTGCCGGAAATGTTTGATGGCACGGTAGGCTGCTAGCAGTTCGCGATCATAAGCGCTATATCTCGTCTCTGTGGGAGTAAGGAGTCGCGTGAAAAATTCGAGAGGTTGCCAACTTGCAGGGACGTTCTGATGCATAACGGGTCCTATAGCGATATCTGTTGCATTAACCGCTATACTAAACGTGGCTTGAGCTAAAGTTTTTTTAATCTCGGAAAATGCAGTACGCGCAGCATCGATCAACTCTAATTTACGTGAGTTACCGCGAAGTAAGTAGGTTAATGGTCGTAACTATTATGCTGCTTGAGTAATAAAACGTCGGTAGAAGTTAACCAATTCGAGAAAAGCCTTCAGTTTCGTGAGTAAGAACGGTATGGTGTACTCCATGATTGTATGTACTTTATTTTCTCAAGGTAGAATACCCTCATGCTTAATGATATGACCCAAGAATTTGATTTCTACCTTGCCCAGTTCACACTTGTCTGGGTTAACTACTATTCCATTATCCCAAAGGCGTTGAAATAAGAGTATAAGATGTCGATTATGTTCATCTACGTTTGATGATGCGATTAGCAGATCACCAATGTAGACGTGTGCAAAATCTAGGTATCTTATCATGCTATCGATAAACCTTTGGAAATTTGAGCAGCATTCTTTGATCCAAATGGCATTCATAGGGCCCCAAACAAACCGAAAGGAGTCGTGATAGCATTTTTCTTGTTATCTTCAAGAGCGACTGGGATCTGATGATATGCTTGTACCAGATCAATCTTAGAATAGATAGTCGTGCCCTTAAGAGATGCCGTGATGTCGTGTATGTGGGGGATGGGATAGCTGTCGAAAGGTGTTACTACGTTTAATGCTCGGTAGTCGCCACATGGTCGCCAACTTATCCCGTCCGTTTTGCGAATCATGTTAATTGGTGAGGCCCAGGGACCGTGAGAAGGACAAATAAACTGCCAATTTCACGTTTAGGGAAAGCTTATTTGTCCGGTGACAGTCGGCGAGGTCGTGCCGTGACTGGTGGTCCGCGGGTGACGATGTGGTGTACCACATGGTGATTCACCGATAGATTCTCCTCGAGTGGTTTAGTTAGAAGGGGAAATTTCTCAAGTAAAGCGTCAAAAATGTCATCACACGAGTGAAATGCCCCTGTGATTCGTTACGCAATTGTTTGAGCTCGAATGCCCATAAGTTTGTTTTTCAACGAAGTATCGATTAGCCGCAGCCTACGTAAATCAACATGTAATTCATAGTGCTGTTGGAAGCCGATACCGAGCATGGCTGTGGGAACATCAGCAATGATCAACGTCCACAGATACTGTCGTCGGTTGCTCAGGTTGACCGTCGGCTGTTGTGTACCGTAGGTAGGAATGACAGATCCATTCGCAGCGCGTAATCGAGGTACCATGGGTTGAAACTTGCTGCTACCAAGTGGTACAATAGAAACTTTGGCACCTGTGTCAACAAGGTACCTAGCGTTAGTGCAGATATCGTGCAAGTAAAATAGGCGGTCGACCTGTGGTGAGGGGCAGTTGAATACGGCCACGTTCACTTGTCGTCTTGGAAGTTCCCTGCCTTGTATGAGCAGGGGGCTCGACAATGACAGGCCCTAGACCTAAAAGTCTGGTGGAAACAACGCCAGCCGACGCCCACTTCCGAAGCCTCCTTTTGGCGTGGCTTGGAAGATGCCCTTTGGGGGCAAATACTTGCAGCCTTTCTTGATCGAGAGCAGGCTCGTGGGTCGTGACGTTCAGAAACAGAAGAACGCTCTCGAAAACTGAGACTGCTGCGGACACAGCAACCCCGATCTCGTTGAGCCTGTGAATGGATACCCTGAGCCAACCCAAACAAGATGTCAGGAATAAGTGTGAGAGCGATATAAACTTCGTAACTGATGTGAAGAGTTTCCTTACTTGACGTACCCCATAGGGACATTTTGCGGATGTGTGACCGAGTTCCCTGAGCCAGAATGTGTCCAGTAAAACTAATGAGTTCGAATTTTAATTTCAGTGACTTACAGAACTATTTGTTTTCGGGGATCAATTTACCGCTACAGGCACTTAAATGAAAACTTCCCCGAAATAGTCATCCATAGTTACTGATTAGTCCAGAACTTCTATAATTTGTGACGCAAACCTTATCTTAATTAGACTGTAAGTGCAATTATGGATGCTCTTTCGCTCTTTCGCCTACAGGCTGCAAAATGTGCTAACTCCTTTTTATATTTTTAATGAGCTGAGTGGATTAGGCATTGAACATAGTCCGGATCTATCTGATTCCTCTCATCAAATTCGATATTTGAAGGTAAACAGGGACGTCACAGAGTTTTCTAATTTGTCTTTTCATATGTTGAATCTGCAGAACTACCCGTGGTTGACTGTGCTTCATCTAGTAGGTTAAAAAAACTCTACATGACGGTCTTCATACTGCGTGACGAATAGATCCTTGACAGGTGAGAAGTTTTGAAATTTATATCTTGTGTTATTAATAACTTCCTGAGAAGGAGCTACGGATGGTGTTTTTTCTAAAAACACAATCAAATGCAAAGCCTTATCATTTTTAACAGACAGGATTTGGTATGTATTGCGGTATTAGCAGGCAAACTAATATTCTAAACAGTTTCATGATTATCACTTCACGTACGCAAGATTTTCGTGCCCTTCTCAGACCTGCCGACAGTTTAAATTCTAGGTGTTAAGTCTACTTTTCTGTATGGAGTTATGGGTGTGAGATATCGAAACGTTTAATTTGTGACCGAAACAAGCGGGAGGTTTGAGTTATATCGCTCCAACGTTAGATTAGGATTGATTAGTCATATTAAAAGACCGCTTTAGAGTATTAAGCACGTGTAAATTTCACTTTCGAAATGTCTGGGCAGGGGGATCGTTTTAACATCTTCCCATCTCGGATGTAAGCTTTTTGATGTGACAGATTTAAGTTCTTTCTCTTTTAATCAAATAGGGCGCAAACAGCAATGAAGAGTCGACTAAAAGGTGCTCAAAAAGGCCATAGACTTTTAAAACGGAAGGCAGATGCTTTAACTGTTCGTTTTCGTGGCATACTAAAGCAAATAATACAGGTGATTGATAAAGTGTTTCTTGATAGTTTTAGGCGAAACAAGCAATGGGCGACGTTATGAAAGAGGCTAATTTCTCGCTTGCTAGTGTCAAGTTCACAACAGCAGCCAATATTAACAGTTTAGTATTGCAGAATGTAACAAAGGCTCAAAGGAAAGTTAGGACAGATAAAGATAACGTTGCAGGTTAGAACACTAAATTCCACTTTACTTTCCAGGTGTGCAGTTACCTGTTTTCAAAGTCGTTGTGGAGGGATCTGACAGTAAGTACAATATTTTCACAGGATTATTTTTATGTCCACTGGTAAAATTGTCTTCTAAATGTAGACTTTGTGATCTTGATGTGGTAAATAAGTGTTCTCTAATACTAGTCTGATTCTACCACTCATAAGTTAATCTTGGTGAGCTTATACCAGCTCATATGCACATTTTCAGCTGCTTAAGCTTCTCGACTTCTATGAACAGTAAAAATAACTATTTAGGCTCTTGAAGAAAATTGGTATTAAGAATTGAGCTATTAGTAAGCCTATTACGGAAAAGGATGGAATCATTATTCACTCAACCTAGATGAAACCAATAAAAAGCTGTACTTTCCTTACTCTTTATCTCCATCAACGTAGTTGACTTAAGTACACTAAGTTCGTAGCGACTTTAAGGAAGGTTATCTATTTTTAGTAGTTAGGTTAACCGGGATCTTTGATGAGGACTGTATTCAACGCCATCTGACAGGTCATAACCGCAGATCTTCTCATCTCACAAGGAAGTACAAACGTTCTTGGGAATATTGCTAAGGGATCACTGACTAATTTCATACCTATAGTATTACTTTCGATGGCAATTTGATTCCTAACTGGGCCTCATAAGGAGTGCACATGGTAAAACTAGGCTAGTCCTAAACCTGGTCGTGAATGCATGCTATAGAGGTTGGTGTCTCACGAAAATTCGATATGGGTTCAGAAAACCTGATTAGCTTTATCCAACTTATAGCGTAGGTGATATTTCCGTTTACCTACTAATGGATAAATATACTGCGCAACAGTTCTCTCCTTCCATGTCTATAGATATGATATAACCAATAATAACGAGAGATATTCGTAAGTTACTAGTAATCGATCATTGGTGTTTTCGAGTATCAAAAAACCCTAACTATCGTTTATTAACCACTCAAGTTTCATCACAAACTCTGTAGGATGTGAATCTCTATATACCTTAGCCTAACATTTCTTTTAGTCACCGTTTGATAAAATAGTTCCATGGTGTTATAATAAACTTATCTGTTTTTGTGAACAGTTTACGGAAATCTAGTTTAACCGTGGTGAACTTTTTAAAATGATTTAAATATCTTTTATCAAACGCGTTTCCTGTGTTGTATTAATTTTCTCATTGATTATTTTTTCACTGTTCTGTAGCATACGAATTGACGGGTTTGGCTGGTGGTGGTCAACAAATTGACCGATTGAAAAAGAATTACAGCAAGGCTGTTGACTTATTAGTTGAATTAGCATCGCTTCAGACGTCTTTCATCACTCTTGACGATATCATAAAAGCAACTAATCGTCGAGTCAACGCCATTGAATATGGTAAATAAACTTTGTCATTTATTGCACAGGGATGTTTCATTCTAAAGTTACTGCTCGTGTTAAAGTCACTTGAGATGTTTATTCATCTTATTCAAAACAAGAACTTAATGCACTCACCAGTGTATCAAGGATAATAAATCGACATTATTTTTGATATAAAAACGGGTGAAAAACGTTAAGTTAGTCGCTATCGGGACTATGTTTCGTGCCACTCTAAAGATACATTGGAAAACCCCTATTTTCGATTTTCGTCCACCTTTCGCTTTATATAGATGTTGAAAAATTCTTAACTGTCTTACAGTATCCCTAATAGTTGCTTTTGGTATAGTGGTTGTTTCTGAGTTCATGTAAGGTATTCTCTGTATCAGCAACGTGTTCCGTTTATGTACACTTAAATTGTTACATGTAAAATAACTTCAAACAGTCCGACTGTCGATCAACTCACAATCAACGTTGTAACTTATTTTAGCGAAAAGTATTGCTGTGTACTAAATAGTATACATTGAGGTGTGTATTGCAATCGGGCTTAGATCTCTGACTGGAACAAAACTATTGACCGAAAAATCATGAGTAAACAAACATCAAAGAACACACCAAAAAGTTTCTTTTCAGAGCAGTCATAACGTACTGAGTTTTTGATGCCATATTTGTAAATCACTAGTCGGATTCCGGAATAGTGGTATATGGTATTGACTCCATATTCCTTCGGATTTTAGTTCTGGATAAAATAACCCCCTTAAAGTATTTTATTGTAACCAACGAGTTTCTTCCCATTAACATTCCCTGGTGCAGCATAGGATGGGCAGAGTGTTCTCATATGTGCACGCGTGTATAGCTTCTGCCAGCAGAGTCCTACCACTGCCTTCTCGTTACACTGGTGTTTTTTCCAAAATTGAAAGGACGAAAAGCCAGTGTCCGGCGCTTAAACCGGCTTGATGAGACGGAAGATCCACCTTCAGTTTCAAACCAATGGTACTCATAGGCTCCAGGATCCTGAGTGAACAGATGGCATATGAATCTATTGTTGGTCATCAGCTATCTCGGAACAACACCCCCTGCTGATGCTACTCTGCTTTGTGGATTAGACTTGTAGGTCAAGGCTTCGTGGAATGGACTCTTAGAGAAACCACTTACTTCGGTTCGGGTACTCCCATCTCATACGCAAATTTGATTATTTATATGGTGATTTTATATTTATTGCGTCTCTCTAACAACGTTTATTGCTTAAAAAAAGTGCAATTATCATCCTGTTTAGATTTACTAGGCCCTATGGTATCTTTTGAACCGTATGTACTTAAAAGACCTATTCATTCAATATACAAACTTAATAATCGCCTATATTGTCGGCAGTTTCTTTTAATATTTATCACAAACCTATCAAACCACAATCGCCACATCTTTCGTTGCATATATTGTCCTCTCACATGTACAGTTATGAAATTTACTCACAATCATCCGTTATATTGAGTATTTTAATACCTATTTTAGTTATCATACCGAAAATCGAACGTACACTAAACTATATCACACAGGAATTGGATGAACGCGAAAGGGAAGAATTCTATAGGTCAGTTTCATCAGACCCCCCTATCATTATATTTGTTCCCATTTAGATTATTTACTTTAAACTTTGTGCTATGCTTTTGTGTGTTAATGTTAGTTTTAAAGTTTCAGTTTAGAAAGATGTCGTCAGAATAAGTTTCTTAGACAACAAAAAATAATACTGATAGAACTTCTTATACTCAATAGTTGATTTCAACTTGTTTGATATGTTTCGTATATAAAATATTCATTAAATTCATTATCACTTCGTACCATACCTTTTAAAGAAAGACATTTGTTTAGACTCGTGAAAATGCACATTACATAATGTAGCAGATAGGCAATATAAAAAAACATGTAGATAATAAACTGAACTATAGATGTAGGAAAGTAAATAAAATATCTTGAATTTGACAGGAAATTCGAAATAAATGAATATATATCGACCGTTGTAATCAATTTCGAGTGTTATACATTATTCATCTAATTTAGTTACATGGAGTAATCACTTATTTATCCATGTTTGAGCAGTAGTAAAGACACTTGACTTTTAACATTTGGGTAGCAAGTTCAGCCGCCTATCGATCTGCTTCAGTTGTGTTTGCAGCTGTCCCCCTTGTAATGTGAATCGAAACTGAGTATATTGGATTGTGATTTGTCACTGTCACTTGATGCGATCGTTAAATATCGGCCAAACGAGTCATACTGAGAGATTAGGTTGATTAGAGCCCAACGTAATATAACCTAGCATGCAACTGATTTTCCATTCTGTGTTGTGAAAAGACGCATATATTAACAAAATAGAAATGTGTTGTGAACATAACTACATTTTGATTATTGCTGCTGGGTAGCTAGCTGATTGAGAAACGCTTTAAACCCTAAACCAGACAGTGTACTATTTCCAGTAATTATTAGTTGATAATATATTTTCACAAAGAACTTGTTGCTAATGGTTGTACTGAATATGTTGTGACTACTAGTTTAAAAAATCAATGTACAATTTCACGTAAATAGAGCTATGTGTGGAGAAATTGTATATACTAGTTAAGAATATGAAACATTGTTTTTCATAGGTAACATGATATTTCTTAGTTGAGTATCTTTCTAAATTAACATTGTTTCATTAGTTCGCAGTGTTCTTCTCTTGTATATTTGGATTTATTATCTCTTAATCAGGTTTGTGTACAGTTATTAAATAACATGAATGTTTTAATTTTAAATTCATATATGCATATTTGCATAACAACAGATTGAAAAAAGTTCAAGAAAAGAAGAAACGAAATCGTGCTCTTAAAGAATCAGAATTGAAATCTAAAGGATTTGAACTAGCTTCAGCTGATCATGCTCCGAATATATTGACTCAAGATGAAAATGAAGGACAAATTCTTTTCTAATTTATACAACAATCGATCGATTCCGATCAAGTATTGCATAATATAATTTGTATACACTTTACAAATTAGCTAACTTCACAATTTTATGCAACTGCATAAATCTTTTTTCTTGAATTAGTTATATATATATTCACTTCTTATTCTGTTGTTGAAAATTTTGATAATTTATGATGAATATATAATTTGGTTTCTTCCATGCAATATTAATCTTTAGGCGAATGGAGATGTGATCAAATAAATATTTAATTATCGTCTTTATTTTTCTTTATAAGTTCGTTATGTTACTATCATTTCAAGTGTTTTACAGTCAGAAATTATGTATGTATGTGTGCCTATTATACACTAACTAATTCATTGTATGGAACATTGACATCAAGCCTTGAAATAATAGAAAAGTTTAAAAAACTAACTAACATTATGACAATTTGATCATTGATTTCTGTTCCAAACTCAGGCTGCTACCTTGACGTGGTGTTCGGGCTTGCCTATCGTGATGACCCAACCGAGCTATATTGGCTGGAACTTATGTTACTGAAGGTTCTACCATGCCAGGCAGGTCGATTGGAGAGCGATGAGACTAAAAGCAGCTAACGGAAATGTTAAGTGTAAAGTAAATGCATGTTTTTGATCTACCTTTTCGTATTGTGTTTGTAGATCACCGATACGAAATTTCAAGTATCTATCATTTGAGAAGAGGCTATGTTAATCTACAAATATCCACCCGAATTGTTATTAAGGCTTGCTAGCAATCGTCAATGCCTGGTTTCATAAGAAAACATTAGTGTTAGACTATAATCTAGTTTCAAACATAAACTCTAGAATTAGTTATAGTCTTTCCCAGTTCATTGTGAAAATATTATTCTTGTGTCGATCACTACTTGATGTTGTTAGTCTTAAAGCTTAAAAGTACCTTCAATCCCAAAGTTCATAATTGCGAAGACAAATATTTGACAGCGCATATTTACACCATTTATTGCTTTGTGTGAAACACACTACGGAAGCACCAACTAGTCTTTCTATGAGTCTTCACTCATTCATAATTGAAAAGCTTGGAGCATTTGACAGTTGTTCCATCCTAATATAAGATTCTTCAGCAGTGCAATCCTTGAATTAGATCTATGAGCGCTAGTTCTACTATTGGGCTGAATCATCACGATATACAATCTATCCGACAACTATTAATGGCTGTTAGTGATTAATGTTTCATTATGGATAATATGGTTGAAAACTACCTGTCTCTAGATTCCGATAACATCTCAGGAACTCATCCGTTGGTAAATCATTAGTATGTTTACGATTAATTTAGGAGTTTTGTTTGATCTTTCAGTCCTACTAGTTACAGTTTGGCTGCACCGTCAGGCCTGAAAGTAACTGGTTCTGGTGCTGAGTGGCGTCTTTTTCAAGTATTACTGTACAGTCTAAAACTAGGATAAAACCGATATTCATATAAGTAATATGAAACAGCAATGAAAATCTAGTACTTCTACAATTACCCTTTCGAATTCAGCTCGTCTCAAACTTTGGGTAATATTTGTTGGGTTCTTATTCATACTTCTCATGTTCATATTATTAACAAGGCAGGTGGTTTCTCTGTCCACAGACTGTCCTTATGTTGTAAAAGTATTTGCTTGTTATATTTTGTCGACAAATATGTCTAAATTATTAGACTCTAATAAATTCTTGTTGATTTATGAAGAAGTGGATTGTACGTGGAAATTGCTAATGCGATTCGCAAATCAAAATTAAATGTTTTATTTCTCGAAAATCAAACGACGAATTTTTAGTGCAGGTTTGAACCTGGTTATAAGTTAAGATACAGTTAAATAATGACCGATTATTAGCTTCATTCGATATTCAGTCAATTGTCTTGATGCTTAAAATCCCGCTCTGTCTACCCCAGTTTGGCCAGCTGGATAGTATTGCTAGGCTTCATGTAATACTTTGTTCAAAGTAGGGCACACAAAGTTGTACTTGCTTTCCGAGTTAATGTAATCACATAGTCGATCCAAACAGAATATAAACAGTACCTACTAATTTTAAAAATATAACTTTGTCTTCGGTGGGATATCACATGTCACACCTATGCACTACAATTTACACTTAAAAAATCTTGTTAACAAGGAATGATGAATGGACAAAAGTTATAGCAGAAAATCAAAAGCTGACGAAAGATGAGATGTGTATGCTGTGTTATATTCATTTTTACTGTTCTTTATGAAAATTTCTTCGAATTCAAACGACAACAGACTTAAAGCCTATAACGTTTTTACCTCTCAATAATTCATCGGAGCCAAACTGTGATCACTTACTAGGATAGTATTACAAGAATATATTCGTATACAGGTAGAAGTCAGTGAGAGTACTATCATTAGGCTGCTTCGTGGTAGATCCTTTACCGATAGTGTAAGGCATACACAGTATTAGTGCCTGACCTCGTATTTCTTCACGAGCATTTGAAATTTGGCATCAAGTGTCGAACATCAGTCGAGCTAATCAGTAATTTAAGTGAGATTTACTAACTTTCGAAATTTCTCTTACAAAGACCATCCACATTTATGAACATAAAATTAATCTCTGTCCTAAAAAAAATAGTTTCAAATTACAAAACTTGTACATGTATAACTCTAATTGGTGTTTAATTCTTTGAATTAAATAAAAGTTGCCAGAAATCAGCTTAAATAACAATATGTTCTAATTTACAAATCAGTAATTTTCTGTCGTTTTTGAACTGTATGAATGGTTATACACTTATTAAATATAATCACTGGCTATAAGTTAGAGCATAGTTTAGAGCTATACATGATTATTATATAGTTAGTTACTTGTGTTTTTCAACATTCAGTGAATGTCAAATTTTCACATCGTTTTCTTTTAGTTTATTGATAAAATTATACAATATTATTTGTTTTAATTACTTAATTGTTGTTTAAACCTGTCAAAAGATTAGACAAGTATACATAATATTTCAAACAGTGTTTAACCTAGTAAGATACTGAACAGCTTTGTAAAACTTCCTTTATTCAAAATTTTAGGTTGAAATTATAGTCATAGATTGCATTATTCTAGTTCAGAAACTTGAGCTCTATAGGTAGAGTTTTTTGTAGGCTTTAGAAATTAAACTAACGTTTTTATAGAAATTGGTTATATGCTCAGTTTTCTAATGACTCATTTTCACCACAAAATCAATATTTATAAAATACTGAGTTAATTGAAACGATTAAGATTGAATTTCCGTAAATATTAGCTGCTTTTGAATTGAACTAAAGATTTACATGGATTATGTAGACGTATTTTCACATGACGTTATGCAGTTCTCAAACGACTTAAAAACATTAAGTGATGTTTTACCATTCAGAGTCCGCATTCAACAACAGACTGGGTCATTGAATATTATATAGATAATTTAGGCCTAACCTATGATAGATTTGGTCGAACATAGAAACTTTGAGTTTGGCTAAGAATATAAGGTTTTCCGACTACTGAGTTAAATTCAAATAGGTACCATTTTCAACCAAAGTTTATTCGTGTCTAAGGGCCTTGTAGTTTAAAATTGAATTTTTCTAATAACTCAGAATAAAGGCTAAGTATAACATTCGAATTTTTACAGAACCAGTTATAAAAAATAAATATTTCCCTTAAGAGTATACAAACGATAAGCTTCAAATAGAGTAGTAAAATGATAACACTGTCTGTCTAGTTGAACTGCAGCCTAACTATAATCGTGGAGTTTTGCATTCAGTCTGTAATTCAATGAGTATAATTTACTGCACTAGACTTGAACTGACAATTAAATAAGAACTTCATTTGCCACATAGTTTACTAAACGAAACTACGTTCTAATTCTTAGTCTTCTAAATAAGCTTTTTTATGTTTATGTAATATTGATATAAATCAATGAATGATCATTTTTCAACATATTCAAGCAAACGTTAATACATAATTCAAAAATTGACAGTTTATGCGTACAGAATGGCTTATAATCTTAAAAAATTTATTAAGTTTAATATTTTTCTGTGAAATTCATCATTCATATGATCAAAAATAGCACCTTAGAATATATTAATCTACTATACATGGCATGTTATTTTGCCACAACCGTTAATTGAAAATAGATATAACAATTGGGAAGTAAAATAGTGCCTTGAATTGTAATAATTTCAAAATAACAATGGAAACAAATGTTGGTCTTAACATAAGCATTATCCAAAGTGAGTACATAAAAGTATTAAAGTTGAACTTATATACTGTAAAACTGGCTTATAGATAGCTTGCGCATCATATTTGATAAATTGTGTTAGATATTAGAAGCGCACAACCGGAAAGTTTCAAACTAAGACATAATCTCTGTAAAGTGTTTTTTTGGTTTTTAACAGTTCACTATCAGCAACAACTTACTTTGGGAGAGAACAAATCAGATTCCAGTGGAGGAGGAAATGAGGAAGAAGCGGTGTAAGTGGATAGGATATACACTGTGAAAAGCACCCAACTGCGTCACAAGACAAACCCTCACTTCGAACCCTCAAGGAAAAGAGGAAGGCCAAGGAACACATTGCGCCGAGAATTAGAGAAAGAAATGAGAAGAATGAACAAAAACTGGAAAGAACTAGAAAGGGAAGCCCAAGACAGAATTGGTTGGAGAAAACTGATGGGTGGCCTATGCTCCATTGGGGATAACAGGCGTAAGTAAGTAAGTTCTCAAGTTTATGTCAGTCGGTGACGAAAACTAATCAAATAACCAATAAACCTGTCATCGATATAGAAAGAGTAAATACATTATTTGAATATAATTAGGATTGATTTGATTTCCGAAGTTAGTGAATCCATTCGTTTTATCTCTCTTGTAGGTACAAAATAAACAGATCTCCACTTTGTGATTGTATAGTTTGAGGTTATTGTATTTTATGAAATCTCTGGTTGACATAGCTGTATATATCTTACTCAAGTAAGTAGTGTGGTGGTAGTTGGCGACACGCCTTACGGATGTGTAGTACTTGGTATGATGAGAACCAGATAATTGATTGATTCTCTTATCTTAATAAAAACACATCAATCATTTTACTCAGATTAAAAAAAAATCTTTAAGTTGTTCCAATTTTTTTTTTGTTTTAACAATGAGCAACTATGCATACAAATACATATGTGAAATTCACAAACCACACGTGATCGATTACAACATTTCTTTCTTTCACTTTTGATTGGCTATTTAAAGTATCCTGTTACTATATCAATGCATACGTATTACAATTGAAAGTTTTTACTAAATGTTAATTGTTCTTTAGCATTTGCACACAAAAAATACCATCAATCTCTTATGTCGAAGGAATTATTGTTGTTTTTGATTTTGATTAGTACTACATAGAAAATAACTGGAAAAATCTCTTTTACATAGTCTATGCTAGAAACATGTTCAATGCTGTTTATTCATGTGATTATTGTCTAATAAATTACGTGATAGGTTATTAAGTTAATTCATTATCATTGGTGTGGATTTGTTCGTTGATTTGTAATCATGCATGAAATTCGTTTATAAATTTGAAAAAAAAATGTTTACACATTGTCATTGGACTCCAATTGCAATGCCAGAGATGTATGCAGTAATGTTTGGTGAACATGCGGGTCTTATACATGCTTGCTCTGTAAGTTATTTGATCAATTTATATATATACATTTCTTTTAAAATTTATATTATTCTACATAATATGTATTCTAATAGTATTTACGAATGATAAGAATCAATTAAGTAGATATAATTCTTGAGTAGAGTTTGAATTTTTCAAGTTTCTTGATAATTATATCAATAGAAAATGTAGATAGGCAATGCACACTGAAATACTGGATAAATTTACTTTCTAAAAATGAACTGGAGCAATGACAAATAAGGGACAGTATTGATTATTATTCTTTGACTTGAATACTTTTAAAAACACTTAAAGTATTTTGTTTACCTTATTTTCTTAATATGAAGCTGACAGTTTCCTTCCTTCAATAAAACAGTTTTAAATAATTAGATTATTCTAGGTTATAACTATGAACTGATAAGCATAGGTCAGTGTATTCGCAGACGATTGTGTCATAGAAAACTATTTTCATGCGTTAATGGCAACACAGAAGGCATTTATTTTAAAACTAGTATGTATTATTGACTAAAGTATGTTCAGAATGAATTACATTTTGATTTAGTTTATACTAATGAATTGAGATCAACGAAAGCGTATAAATATATTTTAAGGACTCACGTTTCCTAATGCAAAATCAAACGATAAATATTTGTAATAGAGTCAGTCAGTTGAGCTAATATATGTGGGTAAGATGATTGAGATTAAAAAACAGAAACTGATTCATAGTTGAATTCGTTTATTCAGTCTTTATGATATTCATTTTTACTCTTTGTTCAACTACTCATAAAGATCTAATTTAGTTAGGGAGTGTTTGAATTGTAAATATCAATACCGTTCCCTTTGGTGGTGAATTTCGTACTTTTTTTTAAATGAAAGCGTATACACGCATTTTTCCATGCGAACTACCAAATGTAACCGATAACTTATCAATTAATACAGGGGATTTGTGGAGATTGTAGAATATTCAGCTTAAACCACGATTAGTTCGTGATTTAAACTGTGAAAATAGTAATAATAATTAGCTATAATTTTTCAGCAGATTTAATCACGTTGAAATGGGAAGTTTGAGTGGCTAGCTATAATTTAAAACACTTGAGTTTGTACTTTAAATTTGCGATTCGCATATTTAAGTTGAAGTGTTAATGATAACACTTTTTTAAAAGTATATATATTATTAAAAAAGTTTAATTCAATAACCAACAGTACTTTGAAACTAGGTAATACATGCTTTATAAATTACAATTATATATATATATATATATATATATATATATATATATATATATATATATATATTCACAAGACTTAAAAAATCTTATCGTCCTCAAGTCTAAATGCATCTCATTAGTTTTTGCCATTAGTATTGTTAATCTAATAAAGTAAATAACAATAGAGAATGTTTGTTTTAAAGGATAAGGATTTAACAAGTGGTATACTTTTCGAACTGGATTGTATGGTCATGAAGGTTTTGTTGTCTTTCTAAAGAACATGACATCGGAAAGTAACTATTAGGAAAAATAATTTTCATTGTCAGTCGATGTCACATTTAAAAGCTGATAATTATAATTGAGTACTAGAACATCGCGCTTCCACACCTGACAGATAGTAATGATCAGCTCCTAATGGAAACACTTTTCAATATATATTTTTAAAACGAAGCTCTAGAACACAGCCTAACGCAACCTAACTAATTAGCCAAGTCATAAATAAATAACTGTGTCACAAAAACATGATCCTGTAGATTGGTAATGACTACAACTGGCGTTGTATCGCAGCAAACTGAGTGTGTCCAAGAATAAATCTGAAAGACATCACTTACTTATTAAAAACTATCGCTATTTCACAGATTCACATCTCGACCATTTAATGGTGTTTTTTGAGATCGCTTCAATACATTTATATGAAGTATAGACAACTTTCTGAACTGAATCTCACAAAAGAAATGATAGATGAATAGCACTACTTTTGTTCCCCTTACTGGTTTGTGTTCACTTAATCCTGTAAGCTAACTGAGAACAAATTAGCCTTAACCGGTTGATTCCACAGTTAAAGGATTTTTACTGAAGACATCAGCTGTTGTCACAAAGTCTCGGTATAAGCATCCCAAAATGCTTCACTGACAATAAACCACTTCCCTAAAATATGTCAAGATACTCTTACTGTGGAGTAACGAATTGTACAGAGCTTTTGTTTAGAAACAGCTTACCAGTTTTCATTTGTGAATTTTGTGCTGATCATATTCATAAAAGCTATTAAGAGCTACCTAGTTTATTTCAAATCATGATTGGTTTCAACTAAAGTTGACCACTCAAAGACAAAATGACTTTTAAGCTATAGGATCTACCAAACCTTATGACAGTCATATTATAACCTTTCGAAACTTTCAATATTGAAGTCGGTTTTCGCAAAACAAGAATGTCTTTGAAATTTCGCTCATCACAAAATGAATATGTGCATTAACAAACGTTGTATTGACAAAGCCGTTGAATATTAAATTCCTATCATTCTCCAGTCTTGAACAAAAAAATTTGGCATGATATTTATTTCATAAGGTATTTTCTTCAATAAACATGTTGCCTGTCAGTCATTTTGCAGAGAGCAGATAATATGATATGACTGATATATTGTTTTATAATTCACTATAAGTTATATGAAGTGCTATAGCTATATGCAAACAAACATTAATATATGGTCTCAGTTTTAACTGTAATTCAATGGAATTAGAAATATGTTCTATCTTCTATATGTGAAGGACATTATTATTTTCTAATTATAATGAGTAGAGAAATTTTTAATGTCCATATAGACCTTTCAATGATAACTGTCATCACAAACTGGAATCACTTGAACAAAACGAAAAAAATACCAGTTATCATTGAACAAATCCATAAATGTGCTTATTAGTAATTGAATATTTAACAGTGCAAATGATTGAACTCTGACTCAATTATCTCAGGATATCATGATTACTTTAGAATGTCATTTTGTGGTAACATACAACTGAAGAGTCAGATGATAAATCTAAATACTTATCCAGTACTTCGTGTTCTTTTAAGTGATTCTACAATATATAGCAATATGTGAAAAAAACTAACTTCAAAATAAACAGAAACCGCGCAAATTATCTTTTCGAATTTCTTTCAGTTGAAAGCTATCAAATGTCTTCATTTGTTGAAAGAGTCAAATTCACTTCCGTTATTAGATTAAATATGTGGGCGTAAAAACTATCTTTGACGATGCTATCAAATATTAAAAGTATTCTATTACAAACAACACTATTATTACGCCCAGTGTGTTACCTTAGGATGATGTATGCTTTGTTTACTGTTTATCGAATCAGTACTCTACTTTTGAAATGATTAGTGTAAATACCTTTTGTGAACTCAGTGATGCTGCTTTTCTAAGATTACTTTTTCATTCTTTGTTATTCTTCCTTAATGTTTATGATTTTTGTCTTTTGAAAGTTTCTTATGAGTGATTATTTGTTTACTTTTCCAATATCTACTCTCCATCTACTAACATTCAGTTGCTGGTTCGAGAACATTTAATGCTTGAGCAATAAATACAATCAAGATACTGAATATATTCATCATTGAAACTATGAAATCCAATTTAGATAAATAAAGGTTATGAATAACTGTTTTTTTTATTAGTAATGAATATCATGACAGAAAACAAAAAAAAGGTACCTATATACTCTACAATCAGTAAACTTGGTTCATAGTTCACTGGTAGTTAAGAGAATGTACAATCTAGGCATTCGATAAGTTTAAATCATTTTTTTACATGACCTCAAATCTACTAAAGTGAGAACATTTTCAACATGGCTATAAAAAATAATTTCAAATCAATTTATAAGTTTTGCTATGAAATGTGATTGAATAAATGCTTCGGTAGCTACAGAAATCATCAAATTGTATATTATCGATGAAAAATAAAACTTCTTATACTAAACAGACAATGAGTGTAATGATTTAAGTTTGGATTATTGATTTTATACAAGGTAAACTATCAAACGATCATTAATTCGGTTGTGTTAACTTTTTTTTTGAAACAAAAATTCATAGTACTATGAATTTTCTACTTAATACAAGAGAAAAAAGGAACCAATGATATATATATATATATATATATATACAACTGTCTATTTGCTTAATTGAAATTCTCGAAAAATCTTATAGATTGAATGAAATGTACGTGTACTACTGGACTGTTTTGTTAATATAAACACAAAATCTACACAGTCATAGTGATCAGTGATAAATAATGAGACTGATAAACATGTATATATATTTATAATTTGTTGAACAATATATACAAACAGAATAATTTAAAAACTGTTGTCTTATACAAATTATTTGACTTGAATTTTCACTATGGTTTACTATCAGTTGGTTAGTTAGTGTGAACCGGATAGTACTGAACAGTTGATTAAGCATTGGTTGGAATTTTTTATGTACCCACTATCATGAATTATATTTTTCCATGGCTCGATATGAGGTGTTAAGTAGTTGCGTAAATCCGTATTGAAAATGCCTATAACTCACTAAAAAACCACTTATTTAGGTTTTTAAACATCTGATATTTTTACATTTTGATGGAAAGTCTGCGATAATTGCTTTATTTTCATAGTTTAATAAACCTCAGAAGCCAGGGAGGGCGTTTGGTCTCGTATCGAGCACATAATCGTTTCATGTTGATTGTAGTCTGTCAATGAAAACAGTAGTCTTTCAGTCAGTAAATAGCTTTACCACAACTGTAGCATTCTCAAAATATTTATCATTGTTTTTGTCATTGTAATGTTTATACGATCATTCTCGTTTACTGTTGAACATTATTGAAAAATTATTTGATGAAAATAATTTTAACAAGGGATATACATATCATCAAGAGCTGTCTAAAACTATGAACTATTGAATATCTGCAACTTCCTAAGCAATCTATCTGAAGCATTTTCATGTTTTCAGGTAGTTATTAGAATAATGAAATTCTCACAAAGCCTTTCGTTAAACTTTGAAGTATGAAGCTATGGATGAAGAATAATGTTTGCTAACAACTCTAGATAACAAATGAATGAAGTTAGAAAATGCAGACTCAATACATGAATATTATTTTACTCACTTTATTATTGCATACTTCTAAATAAAATATCATTTAGATTACAAAATGAGAAATTGCTTAGCACGGACCAGTGTTCAATTAGTTTTCATTATTCGGTGAAATGAATCATTCATCCGTTAGCTGTTGATTATAGCGTTGTTTCTTAACATTGATCACTGATCACATAATCTGTTGATCCGAGGATTTGCTTAGATCAAAAGATAAAATGATAGTATATTAACAGTTCAGTGTATTGTTTATATGATTTCGGTCTATTATTGATAAATAGTGTTGTAGATAAATGTCAATGAATCAAAATTAAAGACTCTATTTATTCTATTCTCGAAAATTATCCTTGTAAAACATGCCTATTCACATGTTTATCATGTTTTTTTTTTGAGAAAAAAAACATTGATTGCTCTACTGTCTAATCAATTTTCGGCACAATATTAATCAATATATTTACACCATTGGATATTTAACGTTCAAAGATTTTAGAGAAACTAATTGAATTTAATTATAAGCAATGCATAAATATCATTTTCATCATTAGTCACCAGTAGAAAAATATATACATTTAGGTTCGAAAGATTAGTTTAATTCGATAAGCCTTTCATTAAAATGAACTCATGTTTATCTTTTTTTTCTAAATTTCATCTTGTCATCGAAATTTTTAATCATGACACAGATGAAATGTGATGGAAAAAATTATTTTACTTTTTTTTGGTAATTTTTCAAAGTCGATCGTGTAAAACAAGTTATCGATTTTTATATTGGAATTCAAAAAGCAAGGCAGTATTTAGTGATAATTTTGTTATTGCGCTATTGTTGTTGCATTCTTAAATAAACTGGAAAAACAAGAATATTTATAGCATAAAATGAATTGATTGTACTTTATTGCTTTCTCATCGATTACGCACACATACACACACACACCAACACAGAATATATAAATCAAGTATAACTAGTTCACACATTACTAATATGCAGAGAGAGAGAGTATTAATTAATAAAGAGTGGAATTTTCTTTTGCATGTTTCCGTTTACAAGAAAAAAAAACGTTTTACCTTGATTTAGTGATAAATAATTGAAGTTAAAAAGCAGTAAAGATATTGCAGGATAATGATTGATTTGATTTCACTTATCGATCATTTAATGATGAGAATCATTTGTAGTTCTGTGAAGCTTTTATATTTTTCAATTCTTAGCGTCAAATTAGTAGAAATAAGTCTATGAAAAGATGTAATCAAGTATATGACTACTTTGTTGAGTCAGCTAAATTGTTTGCAGTAGGAAGAGTTATTTTTCGTAAATATTTATTCATTTTAAAGTAAGACATTTATTGACTAGCACAAAAACTTTCTTTAATTAAGTTTTATCATAAATTCCCTTCCAGAAATAAATATTTTGTCTTTTGATTATTTCGGATTGATCATATATCACTTAATGACTCCAGAATATGCGATTTGTTTATTTATGAGTGCTGGAAATGTAAGTCAGGGAATTTATACTATGAGTTTCTACCATCGATCAATGTTAGACCACCATGCAAAACGTACAAGCAATGGACTGCCGTTTCGTCCTGCTATGGGACTCATCAGCAGCGCGCATCCACGACTTCTGCAACCATTTGCATAAGGACTCAGGACCTCCGGTCTTGCGCCTGAAAGCCTAATCTCGGGATCACTGAGCCGTCATACAACGATGTTGATGTCTAACTTTTATATCGAAACTCATTTGATGATGATTTATTCCTGCTATGACAATCGATAATGCTAAAAATAATAAAACTATTTCATCGAGAGTTTTTCAAGCACGATAATTTTCGTTCGTTCATATTCTTAGAAGTTGCGTTGAAAACGATCACTGTAAAATCAACCTAAGAGATTACTTTCTTCGAACCGACGTAAAACGTTGACCATTCTGTTCCAATTCTTATAATATATTTATATTCTGTTATGTATTGTTACCAGAATCACTGATAACCAATTAAAAATATATCCGATGTTTGTTTGCTTGCTTATCTTTAATAGGATACGCTGAGACAGTATTGTGAAAGCCTTTGGTATTCAGGATTAGAATACAAACGTCCAACTCATGAGGAAATTGTAAGCGTTAAACTAAAGCAGTAATCTCTATTTTAACAAATCAATTTTTATAAATTTTATTGATTTAAGAATGTTATTCATTTTAACAACAGAAAGTTTCAACGGTTATAGTTAGTTACGTTAAATGCTTATAAAACTATTCAACAATATATTGAATAAAAGACGAAATCGATACGATTCATTAAAATGCACACACGCATCATTGGCAATCGTTATTATTTATGACATAGTGGTGTTTGAAAAGTTGACTAATGGTTAGTGGTTCAAAGTCAGGTAATATGATCTACTCCAGTGATATGTCCAAATGTTGAATTACTCTAAGAGGTAATCATTCAATTGTTTAATGAACACACTGATGACAGGATGCCGATTGATCATCGATGTTGAATACTTGATTGCAATTACGAATATCGGTGGACAGAATTATTACACAATAATTTATTTGCATTGAAAAGTTATGGAGTTTTATTGATGCTTATAAGTTTCGGATTCTGTTCGAAGCTACATTGATTTGGTGTATAAAATTTATTCATATCTGTGCTCTAATCTATCTATTTAGTAAACTCACTACCAAACAGTTTTACAACAGATTTAATCGATTCTAAATAATGATCTAAACATGTCATTTTAATTAATTCTACTAGTTAATTAATCTGAACACTGTGACTTCATCGTATCTACTTACTATAACACTTACTTCTTCTACACAATATGATGAATATATATATATATATATATATATATATATATATATATATATATATATATATATATATATATATATATATATATATATACATATATGTCTTCGTTATGACCAAAGGATATTATTCATGATGTTTCTCTTACATTGAATATCTCAAATAAATATGGCAGTACTTTATGTTCCTTCGAAATAATAACAATCGAAACGTTGTGATGTTAATCTCTGTTAAGATTCATGAATGATTAAAAAGAAAACTATGATTTTCACCCAAAGTAGACATACTTCCATTAGAATGAAAGTGCTTTAATTATTTTGTGCTTTTGCAGTTTATCTAAAATGTTTCTTCTGAATGTGATCAAAGTACGCGTAAAATTTGGTGTTAATAAATGCACATTCTTGAACAAATAGTGAATGACATACATAATTTTCGGGTGTCAATGCTAAACACTCATTTAAACTGGAATTTATTATTCGATAAGATGACATCCAACTTGACGACTAAATCAGACTATTACATAATGATACACACTTAAAATCCTTCCTTAACAAGAGAGCAAAGGGTATAATGTACACCTCGACTCGTAGATTTCCGGCGTTTTGTCTATATATCTTGGGTTTCGATCGTTTTCACTAGCATCCTAACCTGTATCAACAAATGTTTTATTCGAAGACGTTACTCCTAATCTATTCTGATCGTTGGTGACTACACAACATGCATAGATTGGTTCAACATTATCCGAGGTTATTTACTTCATTCAGGATTAATTACTGCAAAAATTTGAAGAATTTTAATCACGGAAATATTAGTCAGATTACTTAACTTCTTTAAAATCATTCACTTGAATTTGAACAGAAGTCACTACCACTTATGATAGTTTTGTAAAATCATTTTGAAAGATAAAAAAGTAATCACTGAAATCACAGAATTTGAGTTCTTTCGGTTTGCTCTGATCAAATATTATTATTTTTTTACAGTGATAAGACAATTTTCAAATTTTCTTTTACACAACGGATAATTAAGGTTAGTTTCAAAAGGCGTAAAAAACAGTTTCGGAAGAGGAATTTTTAAAATTGTAAAAGGTCATTTGGTTGAATAAATATCAGTCATTTATAAATGTCGTTTTGACATATATAACTTACACTTATCTCAAAGTAAAGAACTGATTAAACAATGATATTAAGAGCGATCAAATGATTTTGCTGACAACATTATTACAAGTTGATTACATCATATCTTAAATAGTAGATTGTCGGTTGTTGGATTCTGATGCAACAATTTGCTGTTATTAACTGGTCTATTACATAATCTATGAATCTCATATCTAAAGTTTCATGAGTGAAATATGATTAAAAACTAGCCCTGAAACGCTTAACAAATGAAACACTTTACTATGTAATTGCGTTACTAAACTTATTAATATATAATCACTTTTAGTTGTATGTCGTTTCCGTATCTTTTCGATTACTTTGATAAATTTCAGTTAGCCAAATGTGGAATACTCTTCTATGGACAACCATTACCAGCAAATATTCTTTATGCATTTTATTATCAATTGGAAAATTTATTTGCTATGAGTAAAGTAAGTTGAGAAACTTTTCAATGATTTATTATTGCTATGTTTTAACAGACATTTCGTTCACTTTTTTAATATAATTGATTAAGTTATTTCATTATTGATTGGTTCTAATTGACGTATGTGCATCCTGTGTGAATTTCTTTTGATGTAACGCCATTGTCACGATTGTCTACAATAATCGAATTGTGGATAGTACCGTAATACAAGATTCATCGTTTTGTTCTATTCAACAATCGTCGGCTGGATCTTATTTGTATTTTAGAGTTAATATTGATTGCGGGATTCGTGATTCTGTTGTATCTGCGCGTTGAAAACAACGACAGATCAATTCATATATGTGATGGATGAAATAATAGTTGTAATCTCTGATTTTATAGGAAACTTATCTTATCAAAACCAGATAGTAAATTTAGACCATTTCAAATAGAAATATTTCCAGTAAACATAATCTGTTTCGAGGAAATTTGATGTTCCTTGAATATATTTCATAAATAATTAACTGTAAATTAATACCGTCTATATTCATAAGGTTTTTTCATCACAAGCTAAGTATTATTAGATACTTAATTTCTGATAATTTCATCTATCTCATTGCTCTTCTTGACCGAAGCTAGATCAGTATTCGTTTGAGATGTGGTTATTCTGTCCGTACATCTCTAATGCAGTTATATTGTCATACATTTTCACAAAGTAGATTGAATGGGAACTGTAGTGGAATCCAGTGTGAACAATATGTCACATAGGATAAATCGAATCACAACAAATCTAACTAGAATTCGTACCCATCTCACAAGCTAGTATCTATAGGGGATCAGTAGTTCAGTGGATAACGTTTCAAGTGTTTGGAGCGCAAAATACTAGGTTTGAATACCGATAGGTAGATCAGTTCTAGGGTGTAAGTACATGCAACTTATGGGCCCCCATTCGAACGAAATGCGAGTTCTGTATTCTATTGTTAGCCACATATCATCTCTTTTATTATTATATATCTATCATACATCGTAGCTCTCTTGAATTCTTGTTTTAAATTTATTCATATTTTTGTACTAACTAGTTAGAAAGTGTTCAATTTAAGGACAACAAAACTATGACTGACCGCTATATAAATAGAAACATTTTTTCGCATAAAATATTGTTTTAAACAGAATACACATAGATTGGGGATTTAACACTCATATTCAATATTCAATAAACTACAAAATCTTAAAGAGTTTTCTTGAAAGACATTTTTGTCAAAGAGTTCGTTAAAATCTAAATTCAATATATATATACACATACACATTGCAATTTTAGTAGTTCATATGATTCAAGTATTTTTTTTAAAAAAAATTAATACATCTTAACTAATTTATAAAATATTACTTGAACATTGTACGTGAATGTGACCTTAAAATTGAACAGTTCTACGCGTGAATTTTTAAATTTGAATCTTCTGTGAATAAAATAAAATAGCGTATTGAGAATTTGATTAAAAAAATATTGAAATACTATCATTAACACAATTTAATGAAATCTCTATTAATTCATAAACATTTTTCTATCGGTTTTCTCTGTGTAATTGTTTGAATATTTTCTAATTTATAAAGTGTGGGAATAATGAATGACTTTTGAAACTTATGATGTTTGCAATGTTATACTCGAGTAAACTTACAAAAATTTAACTCTTGAATTAAAAATGTAACATTAGCATAAAATGTAATGTATCATTTCAACTGTTCTAATTCTGACAGTTTACATTAGGGTTAGATTTTAGTCTAATATCCACTAAAAACCGTTGTTTCTTCCTAATATGGGACTCCTCAGAAGTGCACATGCACGACCTCTTTGAGAATGGAGCCCATAACCTACAGTCGCTCAGTGAGTGCTTAACTTCATGAATGGGAACCCTGTGCTAGAACGAATCAACTGTATAGTGTTCCGTGGTTTTCATTCATTGCTTAAACAAGATCAGAATAAGTCAATATTCTAATTTGGATAAGAAATAACAAATTAGTTTAGTTGTTTCTTAGCCAACGTTACGATGTCCTTCAAAATAATTACTCAAAACACCTATAATGCAGTCATGATAATTGTCATTCAGTGTTTTGGTTAAATTTAGGAAATTCTTTCATGTATCAGCTAACTAGTTTTCTACATAATATTTTCTATGTTAATTAACATATTATTTATTTTACCAAACAGACAAAATTTATTTTCTTCCTAAGAAGCCATAATGAATACACGAATTATTATCACAATTGTCACTCCCTAATTCATCTGCATTCACTCAAACGTTATTTATAATGGTAGATCAGATGCTAAACTACTTTACTATCTTATTTGTTTTTTCTAATTATTGTATTTTATTGTCTCTAGTATCTAATGTAATTTGTTAGTCTGTTAGCGATGCAATCAATAACCAGTTAGATCTACTGTATGTTGTCACCCATGGCAGACATATTTAATTCCGAGTGGTCTGTCGTATACCTTTTTCGTTCCCCAACGGAGTTCGAACATGTCTCATAAATATATCAGAAGCTACAGTAATTCGTTCATTTTAAATTTTCTCGATTAGAGTTATAGAGATTAGTGTTTTTACACATTTGAAATCTTCAATCAATCATTGGCTAGACCACCACTAAAAATCTGGAAGCACTGGACGGTCGTTTCGTCCTGGTATGGGACTCATCTCGCGAGATGCAGGAGTTGTGGATGCGCACTGCTGATGAGTCCCATACCAAGACGAAACGACCGTCCAGTGCTTCCAGATTTCTAATGGTGGTCTAACAATGATTGATTGAAGATTTCAAATGTGTAAAAACATTTTAAGTTGTAATGTGAATAAAACCAATTCGCAGAATACACATCTGATCATTGTGCACATAATTTTTGAACTTCTGTTAAGATAGTCCACTAATATTTGTTCGCAATTTCTGTTTTAGTAAACTGATCCTTGTTGTAATGTTCAACATTCATAATTCATATGTCAAATATCATTATCAAATTACAAGTTTAGTTTTAATGATTTTTTCTATGAATATCTCATAATTTCATTTGTGATTATTGATTTAATGTAAAAAGTGATTTGCTAAAATGTTAAACATATTCAGATAAAAGAATATTGGACTCGATTCAAAGTCCAATACCAAACATAAATATGCAATTTAAATACTAAATGTGATGATAGAATCAAAAAACAACATAAATAACCTTAAAAATATTTTTGAAAAATTCCTGACGACTAGTTCTTACTCATCGTTCGTTTAAAGTTACTGTTTTGGAATATGTTTCAATCATATTCACATATAGTACATAACAGTGTTAGATAATATATCAGAGATTGTGTAAAGTTTATAATTGGTCGTTTTGTTTAGAATGATGTTTAATCTTGGTGGAAATGTTGTCAAGAGAAATATGGTATACCATTGTAAAAACTGTTTTATAATCTGGGGACAGTTGCTGAACTAAGAAAGGATAGAATCGAAAAATAGTAGATCAGGTTTATCTAATTTATTGGAGATATTCAGAAATTCAGTTAATATAGTTTGACTCAAATTGTATAGTACATCAATAAACGAAGTGAACTAATTCTTGAATTACATGTATTGATCTATCCTCTAAACTACTTACAAATATCCAAAATCTAACAGAGTAGTTTACAAAAAAGTTTTCATTATTGTTCACTTTTGATTTATATAAAATTTTAGGTCATTCATTCCATTCGTACAGTTATGGATTGGTTAGATGCAACGGAAAATCACGCCTCAAGAATATTATCAATATATGAGATGAATTCACAATTAAATGTAAGTTCATATCTATTGACAATATGCATCGATTTCTTGAATGTTAACGTAATTCAGTCACAGAAACGTACGTACTACCCAAATGCATTACTTGGCTAGCCTCAAGCATAAGGTTTAAGTATTTAGTTTGTTAACTTGTATTGATCAATAACTTCTACAAATACAAACAACCTATATAAGATTAAATCATTTCATAACTTCCTCCTCAACGACTACAACACAAAAGTTGAACTCATCAAATAATCAGTTGTTTATGGTGGTGTTTCGTTGTCTGAGTTCAGACAACAAGGGACAACATGGTTAATTTGATTATTCCTAAATCTGTTGACCCTTATTCCTATTATTATTCTTCAAAAAAAATGCATTGAATTTAACTGATGATAATATTATTTGCAAATAATTTCAGAGACTGGAATTTCGATAGTTGCAACGTTTCGTTCAGTAAACTTGCTTGGACATCTTCAGGGTAATAATCAAAATCAAAATTATCAGCGAACAATCATATCTATGATAACTGCTTATCCGTTTATATTCAGATGTTGAGTTTAGTACGTAAGAGTAACATAAGTCATTGAGATCTGAATCATGTGAACAGTTTACAATCTGAATAAGAATGAATGTGCTTGTATGTTAACTTGTATGTTACTAATAGTTGATATTTGGTGAATGGATTTCAATCACTAGTTTATTAAAAATAAAAGTGCAAAGTGGAAATGCTTTTCAAGCTGTCGAAGTGTGCGTACAATAATAATCATTGTTATAATGCTAAAACAGTCATATTGGTTTCAGTATGGAAAAAAGCTACAAATGATATAACTAGAGTGGACAGTATTAAGGTTGAAATTACTTATTAATAAGCATTTATCAATGAATGGCTAGTTAAATTCAATCTTTTCTGTTTATGCTGTTCTAATCAGCTCATATAAACTGTCAGTCAGTCAGTCAGTTACAACGTAGAACTTCGTACATTTTGCCATACCGCATCAGCAAAGAGGCGCAACTGTCAGTTCAAATCCAATAATGGTAGAGATAGTAGATGTATTAGCAGTAATGGAGAAGATTAGGGTTCGAAAATATGATTCGAGAAGTATAATCAGTGAGGTACCTTTGGAAAGAGAAAGAAAGAGATGATGAAGAATTCAGAAGGTTAAAATTTTAGCGAATACAAAGAATGGATGCACCTGCGTTATTGCAAACGATTTTTAGCCATGTCATTCAAGATCTCTAACCATCGTTGATTTTCATCTTGCAGACCCCAACCAGGTAGCCTACATCTACCAACATCACTCAGTCCACTTGTCAGTGACTTCATGGACTCGTGCTATGTTTTGGTGTGGCCACCCCTAGCTTTCTTCTAACCTACTCCTACACCAAAGAACATCGCTCGTCGAGGCAGTCGGTGGTTAGGCATACGTAACACACGTCCCAAACACCCATATAAACAGTGCATCTGCTGTCAATCTTTCTATAGGCGTATTTTGGTATCATCAAAGTTGCTCTTGGTTCCTGTTTCTTTGTATGACGGTAATACTGTTCATGTTACTTGTTCGTATTTTCCACCAAAAAGATATTGTCGGTACAGTAATCGTAATCAAATCGTAAACAGTGTTCTTACAAAGATTTTTATTGTATACATCATACATGATATTATTTTAATAACATAACATTCCAATTCTTGTACAGTATCCTTTTTTTGTATAATTCATTTATAATTGTATAAAATCATTTTTACATAAATACATACTGTTTTTTATTATTTTCTTAGAACAGCATTTTGAAGAAACATTAGCAGATCATTTAAAAGCACTTAAATTATGTGATCGTTTATTGGATAATTTGGGTTCAATTTATCATCGTGTACGTCCTCTTGCTAAAGGACAAACTATTCTAGCTAGAGCATTGACAGATTTCGAATCAAAACAGGTAAGTTCACTCAGTAATTCAATTTCCAGTAAAAACAGTAGTTCAATCAAGGAATTCTATTTTTCTCTGTCTTACTACAATTGTATGTGAACAATAAAAGTATCAGTTTGGAAAAAAAATAAGCTTGTTTATGAGCAAATTATGATTTAGGTTGAACAAATCTCAATTACATCATTCGATTAGAGAAGTAAATCAAAGACCAATGGGCTTGTATTTTCACATACTACTTAAATTACTATAATTACCAGGCTAATTGTGGCATGTCAATGATACTGTTACTTACTACTAGACTATCCAATGAATTTGAATAACACTTCAGTCACCGATTACTGTGGCACTTGATAGTGAACCTTTTAGAATATATTTCAAATCAATTATTCAACCAGGTCCTATGGATCTGAATTAGTTAAAATTAGTGTCTGATAGATCATTAAGCCAACTCTTTTCGTGATAATTTGATTACTATAACAATTGAACAGCAAAGAATCTGATCATTCATCCGTGTCTACTACAGAAAGTTTTATTAGGTACCTAATAATCTGAAATTTTATTATCTATGAAGAAAAAACGATAGTTACAATACTGAATGACCCGTATATACAAGTGACTAAATTTGATTCAATTCAGTTGAATAACACTAGTTCTTACAACCGTTGTAGAAATTCTCAAGTTTTGTTACTAGCAATCAAGTAAACACATACATCGATTTTAATTATCAGACATTAAAATCATAAGTAAACACATGTGATTTCTTTTCTAGATAAAATGATAGTTAAATTGCACATGTCAACTCACCAGCATTGTAATCACTAACATTAGCCATAGTGTGTTACTTTGATAATGAAAAATCAGATAAGAAGTCACTCAAAATTGTGTTCGTTTTATATTTACTAAACATACAGAAAATGATTTTTGCAAACATAACTGTCTCTCACTTTCCTGTAGCTAAAACATACCAGACGTTATAAGCTTGGATTTCATGACAGAGCTGATATTTATTAAATCTTAGCAGGTAAAAAACATGCAAGTGTACTTACTCCGAAATCAGTCAGAAAATTCGCAAACATCAAACACAACTATTTTCATTCAAATGAAAAGACTTGCTTTCATCATCATTAATCAAACAAGAAATTTTCTATTACATTTATTCATCGTTTATTTAGTGCACCGTGTCATATACGACAAGTGAAATCATGTGATAATGTCACCTGTTGATTCAAATATTCATTTAGCCTTTTATATGTATATATATATGAAAGAGAAAGAAGAGCGTTTTATGAAATATGAGATTGTATGTATTTGAAAATTTTGTTTTCGCAAATTGTAGTGTGTTTGTAAAAACAGCATTTCAAATATAGATAATAATTTGCGGCTATTACAATACAACAGCCGAATAGGAATTCATATATCCAACTTCGAGCTCCATATATTCAGCTGTGTTGACCTTCAGTGATAACGTTAAATAACATGAAATGGAGTTCAGACACATAACCGGTTTGTTTGAGAAAAACATATTTTAAGCACCATACCAAAAGCTATGGGTAGCTGTCTGATGTTTCTATTCACGTTACTATACTAAATAAAACACAAAATACTGTTAGGTAAGAATAGTATAAATGATAACTTTAGATTGTTTGGTAATTATATTCCTTAAGTGATCGTTAAACAGTTGTGTTAACCTCTCACATAGATGTCTAGAAGAATACTGCTCACTTGAGTAATTTCTTTAAATATACGAATTTTTTTTTGTTCAGATTATTTAAAAAGTATAATATGATGAAATAGAAAAGGAACAATTCCTTATTCAGATGAAGTCGTTTAGTTTTTAAAGCTTTTTTCTTATGATGTGCTAATTATTTGGTTGTCGATCAACCACTAATGAATGTTTTTTCGTAAATTCTCTTTTCTTCATACAGATGAAATGCAAGGTACATGTGAATCACTTTTATAAGATTACATCCAATCGAAATCCTCATGCATGGCAGGTAAAGTTTAAGTTCAAATATACAAGGAAGTTAATTTATGTAAATGTTAGTTTATCCCCAAGATTGCATTTTACAGAACAGACAGAAAGATACAACACAGAACTTCGTACGTATGAGCATCAGTTCAGGTTGACATACCGCATAAGTACAGAGACGCAACTGTCAGTTAAAACTACACTGGCAGAGATAGTAGAAGTCTAAGCAGTCATGGAGAAGATTAGGGTTCGAAGATATGATTCGAGAAGTATAATCAGTGAGGTACCTTTGGAAAGAGAAAGATATAGATGATGGGGAATTCAGAAGGTTAGAATTTAAGAGAACACAAAGAGTGGATGCACTTGAGCCATGGCAAACGATCTTGAGCCATGTCGTTCAAGGTCACCAACCATTGGTGACTTTCGCCTCGTGGACCTCAACCAGGTAGTCTACATCTACCAACATGACTCAGTCCAATTATCAGTGACTTCATGGATTTGTGCCATGTTTTAGTTTGGCCGCTCTTAGCTTCCTCCCAACCTACTCCTACACCACAGAACAGAGCTTGTCGTGGCAGTCGGTGGTTAGGCATACGTAACTCATGTCCCAACCACTTCAATTGATGAAGTTTCAATACTTCATTTACTGATTTGCCGTTTTACAAAACATGATAAAGTGATATACAATCTGAAACTAATTGTGATTTGTTTGATTTAAATGATTCTCATTCAGTACCCTTATCTTTATTTCTTTAAAATTTTAAGGAATTGAAGATTTCTAACTTAAATATGCATATTAATCGAAAACTGAAAATTATAAGCCATGAACTTTATTGATTTACCTGAAGGAACTAGCCTTCTGATCAAGGAGAATCGTATTATTTTCTAAATTAACCAAATTGTTAGTTTAGATGACTTTAATAAGGATTTCCCAATTACAAATTATTTTGTAATCAATAAACAGAATTTATTTATGAAGTAGTTTGTTACGAATTACTTTGAATATTCTTACTAATGATTTAAAGTTTAGAAATGAAAGTTTGTTAAATGGTAATATGACTGGCAAATAACTACCTCATAATATCGAAATAATTGTAGTTACAGTTTCATCAAAAGTACAGAAAACTGTAAAGTACTAAAACACTTGTGAATTAAGGTTGGCATTTTGACTAAGCACTCAAGCAGCCAACTTGCTTACTGTTAAATCTGAAAAATTTCGATCTCAATCCTCTGTAAGTTTGTGATTGTACAGTACTATAAAGTGCCAAGCAGACACCATATACTCGATGAATTCTTCTCAATTTAAAATGGTATTATGTGTAATATCAGTTATTTTCTGGAAATTTCTATCAAACTAGTTTATAATAAAAAGTTTACACTCATTTCTGTCAATGAAAAATAATTCGGAAAAATATTTACTATCGTTTTTATGAAACTACTACATTAAATAAGCACATCACTTACATGAAAAAAGGGAACTTAATAACTTTTCTAGTTTATTATTTATGATGATACAGTTATTATTCACCTGTTCTCATAGTATGAATTTGTTATAGTGCTGCGATGTAGCTATTAAAAATCTTACCGATTGACCAAATTCAGATATTCCAGTACGAACCCAAATACTGTTCCCAAATCTCCAATATATTAGAACACAACACCGTTAGATGAAGTTGTTATGGGGTCAAGTACAGAAGGAAGGAAGGAATGAAAGGATCATAAGCTTTACAGATAATGCATATTTATACAGTAAGGTCGAATAGGAAAAAACATTGAAGTACGTGACATTGATACCTGGGACGACCATAATATTCACCAATAGAAATCGACCAATAGAATTTACATTTACAAAATGATTCCTTGTAGAATATTTGGTGAATATCCTAACAAATTATCAATAAGGTTACATTTATATAAGTGGACGTTGTTTTTTATAAAATGAGACTTACAACTTCACGTCTCAGTTAATATTATAGAAAATGACAAATGGTTAGTTTCATTCAGGTGAATTCGAGTATAAACACTGTGTAATTTAGATAAACAGAGCAGTAAATTTTGTTATGATCACCGATAAAAGTTTCTGTAATCAAAATTACTAAGTGTTACTAGAGTACCGGATTAATAGTGTATTCTAATTGGAGATCACCATTATCTCTGCTTATTTATGATCTGTTTGGCTAAATTTAGATGCTGAAATATAGAAAAAATGACCAACTATTTACTTTCACTGTGACAGTCTCAAATTTATACTGAATTCGAATATCCTAATTTATTTTGCTTTGTTTTTTATACACAAAGATTAGTAATCCTGGGCATGCTATCCCGTCACTGTTCCTCGATGTTTCTACTGAATTCGGCGAAAAACTAATCCTTAAACGGTAAGTTATAAATTGGATGATAGATGTCTATCACTAAACAGCTATCCTATAGATTTGTGTGTATAACGTTGAGTTTTGGTGAATAATACCACGGGTTGTAAAGCTAAATCTATGAAGCTATAAATCTAAAACTATCGATTAAAACAGACTGGCGATTCCTATTTATCACCTCCTTAAACCATGTAAAAAAATTCCCAGCACATTTCCCAATGCTTTCAATCCTTTAACATCACGTAATACTATTTACAGCATTCATACATACGGTTTAATTAAATTAATGATACGACTGGTGCTAAACTGAATGTCAGCTATCGATTTTTGAATACTTTTTAACTACATGAAACCTGTTCAAAGCACTAACATATAGACTCAGAAACATTATTTAGGTTTAGGTGTTCGACAGTGAACCAATCGTTGAGGATTTAATAAATATGTTAAAAAAAGAAAAAGAAGAACGATGCTTTAATTACTGCGTTTCTTTTTTCGATAATGGAATGTTAGTAGTTTCATTTAGGTCTGTTTGAAGTGAGAATGAAAAATCACTAACTTCCCTTTGCAGTTCAGTCAAGTCCAGCTATGAAGAATGCATTTTTCTAACTATTAGAACCAAGTGTTGTACGGATGTCAACAAATCAAATAAGGCATAAAAAACAACCAGAGTAATTATAGAATTATAAACACTGTAGTGTAGAGAAACCTGTCAATCAATGAATATAACATGGACGCTATAACTCATCGGCCCAACATTATGATGTTCTTTGTTTCAAAATGGTCATATCGAGCAGCCTTCTTTGATTAGGGAACAGGAAGCTTTCCATCTATTATTATAAACCCCATGGACAATTGTGAAAGTATAACCTTCTTATATAACTGTCCAAATTGATTTCTACCAAATCATAAATGTAAACATCGATGGACATCTATATTGCTTTACTAATTAATAGTGTTTATTTATTACTGTAGACCAGTCCTAATGTTTCCTGTTTTGTAAACTTGTTATTTCAACACCGAATTGATTGCATTTTCAACTTTGGTTAGATGTCCGACTGTCATTTTTCAAGCGTTGCGATTGGAAATGATATTTAAAGATGTTATGTTAGCAGTAGTAAATTGAGCAACCGATTCTTCACTGAAGAATATGAAGTTTCTTAATAATATGCTCAACAGTTGATATGCTTAAAACTATTACGAGTTCACCTTACTCGGTAAACGGATCGAAGATCGACGCTGCAGTGACACAATAGGCTAATCTAATCCGATTGTCGCAGGCCCTGCTAACTAGAGCAAGAAGTTTTGATAAGGAGTAGAGAATGTATACTACAGGCACCCAGAAAACACGAGGTTGCTAAGCACAATGATAGAAACGCCCTTGGTGAGAGCCACAAAATAGCATACTAAAATAATCCATCAACCAATGAGAGTTAAGGATTTTCCGAGTAGGAAATGTAAGCTGAAGTTCAACTAAGCGTCTTTGGCGCGAAAACATAAAAATCCAAAATTTCAGAATAAAATTACAAAATCAGGACCTACTCCAAGTGAGTTCTGGGGATCTAACGTAGAACATGTAGCTAGAGTGATCACATAACAATATGCAAATGTAATTGTAATTTAGTGACAGATTAGAGTTTTATTGTGCTACAAGGCAATTGATATTTTTCTTTACATTCGCCTCAGTATTATTATGTTAGAGACAAAAACCACTTCTTTGCTGCTCGTTTGAATAATATGATATCACAAACATTATCCATTTAGTTACTGAGTCCAGATAGCCACTCTCTTATGCAATGTAATGAAGATTGGTTTACTTTTAAATGTTGTTAGAATTTTCTCGTTGGCAGTTAGGTACGAAACTGATTAATCACTTTGGCATAGGTGCATCCAATCCCAAGTGCCTCGATTTTTTTGCCATCAGATTACATGAATTATTAACACATAGATAGTGTCAATCAGTGGAATCTCAGAGTGCAAATCAACTGTGCGAAGTAGATACAAGCAACTAACGCGTCCTGGATGTTACCGCCAGCCACTATCCATTTCTACTACTAATAATTCATGTAACCTAATGGCGATATCAATCAAGGTAATCCGCAAATAAGAATGATCAACTGAAGTCTGAACAATCAATGGGAAGATTCAAGCAACAAATACAAATGAATAAATATGATATCACCTGTAGGATTTCTTCACTACTTTATTTTCTATAGGAATGTTATTTCCATTCAGAAAGATGATTAGTTTGATAGACGTAGAAGCTTTCAGTCTTTCATATCTATACTACTACTATAGACCTATAACTATTCATTAAATGTTCATCTTTTTACATACCATCTGAATTGCATATTGATTACTCATTGTTTATTTAGAACAATGAGTAATATTCACTTCTTTAATTAAAATTTATTTAATACAGACTTCAAAAACGATTTGAAGAATTCCTAATCATGTGTCATGGCCGTGCTCGTCGTCAACTATTCTCACGTATTACAAAATTGTTGCATAATTCTAAACGTGTAAGAAATCGCATAATTTTCTTTTTTTTGAAAAATTGAAATCATGATTTTTCATTTAAAACTAAATGACGTACATTTTACACTTATTAATAAAGTAGATATGTGATATGTCGTTTAAAAATATGTCAAATAATTGGATATCAGTTTCATTAGAATTTAAGTGAATATCTTCTAATCTTATACCTTCAGAATGACTTTCAGGTATTATCATTCTTGGATTTGATATTTTATACATGAATCTGCTGTATTTTTAAAAAGAAACGCGTTCCCTCATCTAGTGATTTCGTCTCTAAGCTCGATTGATTCAGGCTTATGTCAATTATCTAATCTCATAATCAGCTATCACTCTGTCACATAGTACTATTGCGGTTATTTATCCCTCATCATTCTGTTCATTTATTGTAACAATGTATAACCCATTTACCATGATTACGATTTCGTAAATCTCTTCATAACAAAACAGTTGACAAGTTGTCAACAGCTGTGGGGTGACAGTTTGAATTTTAAATTGTTCTATCTCCTAAAACGTGCTTCTGTAAATGGTTGTAATACCAGATTTTCAACTGTAGACTAAAATACCAGCTGAGACAATGAAATATCCATTTAAAGGTTTAATAAAGCCTAAAAAGACTTACCTAACTCAAAGCCAACTTCATTTAGCCTTCCACAATAATATACGTCTAACAATTGTAGTACCGTAGATGATGACCAGTAATTACTTTGTTATGTTTTGACTTGTGAATATGAAATAGACAGACTAAATGCCTACAAAAAATGTATCCAATCAAATGTAGGACCTGTACTGGTAACCCTCTGTAGACATTGGGATAATAAGTTTTATTCTCGGAGATGTGATCTAGAGGGAAAGGACTATCCAGTACTCACGGTCATAATTTTGTCTCAAAAAATCACTTTTATTAAATATTGTTCCCTTTTTAATTCTTTCTATAATACATAGTATTCAACACTTCCTGCAATGTTTAAACCAAGCGATTCTCCTGTTTCTTCAAGCGCTCTATGTGGTTTATACTTTCCGCGTTCACCAGATCCGGCTAAACGATGGCGTCCTTCAAATAATGCCAAAAAATTTTCTCGTCAACCAGCCTATTTAGATTATGAAAGTCCTCAAGAAGCATTACTACCTCATACAATCAGAATATTATTGACTCGATTAAGAAACTGGTTGCATCAATTGCCTCCTCCCGGTATGATTATAGATAGTTCAAAGTTATCAACATCGAATTCAAATAAATGTCGGCAGAATAACCTTAATTTGGTCGAAGGAAGTAATGTAGTCAATGAACTACGTAAATGGTGGAAATTCACTTATAAGACAGGTAATAAAAGTATTTAAACTTTGAAAATATAACTATAACGAGAAGTGATAAATATTTGATGATTGAATAAAATTGTATCAAACAAACATTTCACGTAATATCAGCTAAGCACTAAAGAGTGGAGCACCTTAAAACGTTTTGAGAATCGGAAAAATACAAGATCTTTGGGTTTCGATCAGAACCTTTGATCTTGTGCGGGAACGCATAGTCTCTCGAGCATTTGGTTGGCATCCGACATTGTTAACGTCTAGATTCAGTCAATACATAACATTGTACAGTCATCTTCCATCACAATTACTGGGCATTTGCTCCACACCCAACACGGTTGAATTCCACTGGTCACAATTTTTCACTAGAACTCGGAGAATTCGCTCTCGAAGCTAGTTACATTTTCCTTAGAAATCAAACAAGTTGTTATAACAAAAAAGTAAGTCAGGAGAATTACTACTATGGATAAAGTTATGCTTTATTTCTTTGAATACAATTCACTACTTCTCTAAGAACTGTTAAAACTTGAGAATATGACGTTGAAAATTCTCGGTAAATGTCAGAATATTCAATTTTATTTATTGAACCTACTTTGAACAAACCCAAGTGACCTTGAATTGCTCCAGTAATTTGCTGGGGTTTTTGAAAACAACTCAAGAAATCATCAAATCTGTGACTTATTTAGATTTTAAAAAAGAACTTAACTCTCTGATCTTATTACATAATGAGTTCAAAGTTCAAATACCATGTTAATCATGAAAAAGATTATATTTGGTCTCAAAAATCTACAGAATTCAAATCTCATAGCTATTTACTTATTATCCATTTCCGTTTATCTGTGTGATAAGATGAACAAATAAAATTACACCTACCAAGACTACTGAAGTGCGAATCAAAAACACAATCTCAGTTAAACTGTTGAAACACCTAGAAGTCTTCGGCCCAGTTCATGCCTATCACATGTTGAACAGAAATGGCAGTATCATTCAACAAAAATGAAACTAAGCCATTTTACGTTTTAAAACTAATTTTGATATACATAAACATAATATGTATTCTTATGAAAATTGTCTAAAGCAATTTCAGTACTGGCATTTCAGTGTCACTGGCAATTTATGTGTGCTGTTGTTCTTCTTAATGACAGCTAAAAGAACATATTATAAACAAAATATAAGATAAATGATTAATTCCGTTTCCAGTATTTCATGTTAGCTGAACTGGTAAAATGATAATCAACCTCAAGATGAGTGTAATAGATATAACTTGATACCAAATATACTATAAGACGTAATGCTAAATATAACATTTGTTGGAGACTCACATTATAGCCATATTCTAAAATATAACTAAAAAACAACACTAAAGTAGTCTTTTCGCGAAGTATATACGTTCGAAGAGATTGGTCATTTATAGTTCTTAACATCAGTGGCTGGAAAATAAAATTCAATATTAATGTTATAATACCCTGTTTACGCTCAACAAGAGTAATTGGTGAAGTTAGTTAAATGACAACTAAAATCAAGGCATTGTTTAAATTAAATATCATCAGTATAGCAGAACAGATTTATGCTTTTGATACTTGTTGAAATTAATAGTTTAAATGTCGAATTGTCTAGACCTTGAATACGATACTTAACATTTCGAATTTCTGACAGATTTGCTAACTGAAATGAATGTCGCTGTTATGTTGGTGGTTATTTCACCATGCAACTAATGATTCCTCACAATTCAACATGCATACTATGAATTTAAATGAAAGATTGCTCAATTAATATCAGCTAGACAACCAGTTAGCAACAAATAGCTTTTCACCAGAACATTCAGAATCTGTTCAGCCGCTTGTCATCTCTGAGTACCTGATACGATTTATTTTTGTGGACTGTAGGTTTGCACAAACTGTTCACTTCAAAGTTGGTTTTCATTTTAGCGGTAGACCGCTTGATTTACGAATACTTCATTAAATCCCATTTCGACGGTCAATAGGCTTTGTCCTCACCATAGTATTTAAAGTTTCTGTGATTGATCCTGAGTAAAGACTCAAACCAGTTCTAAACGGTTGTTCAATAACTCCCTGACCTTCAATAATTCTCACGTTGATATAAACTCGTATTTAAAACCAATATCTAGTCGAAAAATTTTTTTCAAAATCGCTGTGTTAAAACATTTCGAGATAATACGCAAAGATCATGAAATATGGTTTGAATATAAGTGAAATTTAGCAATATGATTCTTCTATTGATAAGTACATGTAAAATGGTGAATTTTTATTTGATTTCCTCATCTTATAAATCATAATTATCTTAAGTTGGATATTTATACAACTTAAAACTATAATTCTACTTTTCATCATCCACCATAACATTAAATACAGCTGAGAATCGTGATCAATTAGAAAAAATAGTTGCAGATGCTATTTTCATCAAAGTAAGTAAGAAGCAATATGAAATTTAATATTATTATTGATATGTTTCTTTGAATTATTACTTTATTATTAAATATAATGTTTTATTCATTCATATTTACGCATATATGTGAATATTTAGAGTGAAACTTCAGTAAAATCCGAATTGTAATAAGATTAAACAATATGAGAGTTAGGAAACGCAAATATGTTCAACGAAACTTCATCAATAATATAAAAGAAACAGATTTCAAGATATGATGTGTTATCATTTTGTCAACGTACTAATTATAGAACACTGATCAGCTTCAAAGTGATTAGTAGAGATGAATAGTGGCTAGCGTTCGAATCTAGGATGTGTGTTTTGTTTTGTTTGGTACTTGTCACCTGGATCTACCTGCATCCCATCGCCATCGCGTTACTGACTTAACGATTGAGTTCAGATAACGACTGACTTTTGCAATGGCCGTTGATTAATTCGTTTTCACTGGTTGTTTGAGTCTTTCAGTTGAAATTGGTCTCATTTGGCATATGTGTATCTAGTGCGGATTGCCTTGATAATGGCCATTAGGTTGCAAATATTATAAACAGAGATGAATCAATCTTTTTGCAAACTATACGATACAAGGAAATTCTGACTTCAAGTTAAATTGATATCAATGTTATACTGTAACACAATACTTCTAAAAGTATTTATGAAGTAACACTTTTTTCCAATTTACTTATTTGTGATATCATATATGCAAGAATACAATGATATTTATTACCTACCAGTACTACATCTCTGTACATTTCATACCACATGACAAATCTAAGCGTGAAATCGGTACAATTTAGGTTTGTTTAATTACTAATTGTTTAAGCAAACATATTAAATTTTATATGTTTTTATGACTAACTAATCGACCAGATCAACTGATTCTATTCTCATTCCTGATGCTTCAAAAAATGATTTCTTGTCAATAATTTCATTGATGAACCCAAACATCTTGGAATAAATATTCCATACAGCAAATTTATCACAGGTTTCCAAGTCAAAATTGCCAATGACCCAGAGAAGAAATAAAAAGGTGATAAATCTCTACAGGAACAAGAAACAACTCTTTTTCAGGTAAACACCTAAAAGAAAGGATTGACTTGTGTAACTAAAAGTAACGAACACAGTAACGGAAAACGTTAAATCAGCTTTATTTTCGCATATAGTTAAGAGTTTATATGTGTTTAGCAAATCATTGAAATGAACAAAAAAGTGCCGAAGCACTGTCATTGAACAACTTATCAACACTACAGATAAATCTGAATGATTCATTTGTACTTCCAATACTATCATTACTACTTCCTTTCTCAATAGCTAGAAGTGGTCTACTTCAACCTTCTTTGAAAGAACCGGCATTAAAAGACAATCACATCTCTCACGTGGTTTCAATATTGTATCTAAATATTTTTTTCGATTCTTTTAAATATTTTCCCTACTTTTATTACATTTGCAGAAACTGAATGATATTATGCAAACAAAAATCACTACTGAATTGGAAAAGCACAGAAAGCAATATGAATCAAATAAACATTTGACTAATTCAAGGTAGATCAAACCCTTTTCAATGCCATAGACTGAAAATGCTAATTTATTATTGTGGTCAATAAATATTTACAAATATCTTTACTAATAAACGTTAAAATGATAATCATTTAGACACTGAAAAGCTGTTTTATCATAGTATAGAGCTTCTCAGCAGTTCCCATATGTGACCGCTCCAGAGATCGAACATAACACCTACAAACTTTATGTAAAGTGCACAAACTTTAAACTGCCTAATGGTTTAAATTTCCAACTTTTATGATTTTGATGAAACACATGCTTTTATGAACTTCAAACTTAGATAGATCAGTTGACTGATGCTCAATAGTTTTCAACAACATCCACGGACACATGTGTACAAGGGAAACTATTTTAAATTGTAAAATTTTTCACAAACCTCCTGTAGAATTAAAATCTTCCCACTATTTATAAATATTTTCTAGTTCATATTCAGTGAAATCTCAGCATGGATACAGAAAGCTCGATTGGCTTTTGCCAGCTTGCGTCACCTGTGGCGCAGGTGAGATATCCGTTTGCTAAACAAAGGACGAGTGTGCTACGCAGTTGTTCGCTCCGTTCTCCTATATAGATTTGAAACATGGCCAGTGAGGGTAGAGGATATTCGTAGATTGCTTGTCTTCGATCATAGGTGTCTCCGAAGCATTTCTCGTATATCCTGAGACAACTGAGTGAGCAGCGCTGTCGTTAGGAAACGAGTACCAGGTAGGGACGGCAAATCAATAGATGAAGTAGTAGGTGATTGGGACATGTGTTACGTGTGGCTAACCACCGACTGCCTCGACGAGCTATGTTTTGTGGTGTAGGAATGGGTTGGACGAAAACTAGGGGCGGCCAAACTAAAATATGCCACAAATCCATGAAGTCACTGACAAGTGGACTGAGTCTTGTCAGTAAGTGCAGACTACCTGGTTGGGGTCTGCGAGGAAATAGTAACTGATGGTTTGAGACCTTAGACGACATGGCTGAAAATCGTTTGCAATGGTGTAAGTGCATTCACTCTTTGTGTTCTCTGAAACTCTAATCTTCGGAATTCCTCATCACCTCTATCTTTCTCTAAGGTTGTTTCACTGAGTTGTACTTCTCAAATCATACCTTCGAATCGTAATGTTCTCCATTACTGCCAAGACTTCTACTACCTCTACCACTATGTGATTTGAACCGACAGTTGCGTCTCTGTGTTAATGATGTACGAATTTCTATGTTGTAACTGACTGACTGATTGACATTCAGTGAATATGATACTTCATATTTACTGCTGTTAGTAATTATAAGATGAAAATTTACAGTTTTTAGTGACTGATTTGTATTACTTTCAGTTATGCAGAATCGTTTATCTTAACTACTGAATACTGATTACTGTAAAACAACTATTTTATGAACAAATTTGTTTATAATACCAAAATTTATTGTCATCTTATTGATTATTTTTCCATGTTAAACTTTAGCACATTTGAAAGTCACCCAAAACTTACCAAGGTCCTTGTGGATGAATTACTCTCAAGGATAGGAGCTCAATTTTATCATCCACGATCTGGACAAGTATGAGCATTTTTTGTATGAGTTTATTTGTACCATTCTGTTTATCTACTGAAATATTGTAAATAGTATCAAAATAGAGATAAAAAAATGGCTAATGGAATGTATCTCAACTGTCAATCAAGAATTGGCAACATTTACTGACGGAACTACTAGATTCTAACTGTATTACTGAAAGGTAATGAGCTGAGTCAGAGATTTGAGGGTCACGGTTTCAATCAATCATGAACTTTAAGGTTTTCAGTGTTTCATATTGAACCTAGATCAAAAAGCTATCGATTACTTACTGATTTTCAGTGAATTTATAGCAGAAGTCAGCTAACTCATATTTGAAATAATCTCCACAAAAAATAACCAAATCAGTATCCATTTGATAATTTCTGTGTATAAAAAAGTCACTACAACTTATCTTGTAGTCAACATTAAAGATGCTTTCAAACGCCAAAAATTAATAATATCCAATATTTTTACAAATCGTATGTGTGATGAAGGCAGGTGAAATTTATGGTGGAAAACTATTTATGTGACCGTGAGCGCTGCTCAGTTCTGGTTTCGTTAAGATTAACAACGAATAAGGGCAGAATTGCATAGAACATAAAGCTAGTGGTGTTTGAACATTAGTTGAATGGCTGCGAAAAAGTTCGTAAAGTATAACTTTTCATAAAAAATCACTTACACTAAGTAAGAGATCTAATCAGGATTACAAATTATAGTAGTTGGTCTCAATCTACGTCAAATTAGAATGTAAGTCATCAATGTCTCTGATGATAATGATCAACAAAGCTGAGCATTTTCACAAAATGTATCGACTTACTATAATAAGACCGAAGGTCCCGGGTTCGAATCCTGCGAGGAGCAAGAGTTGTTCTTCCAGATTTTTAATGGTGGTCTAACAATGATTGATTGATGATTTTAAATGTGTATAAACACTAATCTCCATAACTCTAATTGAAAATAATAATTTACCTAATAGCTGTCTTCGTGATATTTTTGAGCACTTCGACTCGTTTAGTTAGTAAGGATAGGAGAGGCAACAACCAACCACTCATTAGGATAGATTATTATCGAGTCATATAACAATATGTTAACATATAGCTTTAATTGCAGATTCATTTAATTTTTGAAACTTTTCATGATATATGGAATGAGTATAGCAAGGTGGTTTCTAATTGCATGAAAAGCATAAAATTCTCAGATTTTTACAAAACATGACGTTTAATATTTGAGAGATAGCGACAACTAATTCTTTGAATTGTTTTAGTTACGTTCTATCAACAATTAGGTCGCTAAGTGTTACCTATAAGCTCAGCGTTTTATTACCGCATAGGAATACAAAATAGCAAACTACTAAAGACATATATTAATCCTATTCCATACACAGACGACTCTTGAGATAATAACCACAGTGTTTCGTGAGTGATTTGAAAATAAATAGGAATATCTTCTAGTAAAGAGTTGTTTTTGTTTTCATAAGAAAACTTCAAGATTACATGTAGTAGGTTGCATTTATTCAGTTTCTTCATAGATTCTCATGAAGTTAAGTGAATAAGTTTCAACTGTGACTATTCTTCAATAATCGATTTCGTCGAATAAGACTGGACATTTAACTCATTAAATAAATGGGATCACAAACTATTGAAAATCTATAAACATGGGACATATATTTTGTACTTGTATGGGACCCTTCAGCAGTGAAAGAAACAGTTGTCTACTACTTCTATGTTTTCAGCGACTGTATAACTTGTATCAGTTCCTGACCTCTGAAAGTTAATAATTTCCACAAGTCGCTTACAGATAATTATCTTGTGTTCGCTAGTGAGTGGCTTCCAGGGGAAATTTCTAAAGTTTCAGTGAGAAACCGCAACCAGTGAAGTACTACCACAGCAAGTTCAGGTAAAGGTATTGACCGAAGACTATGGAAGAAGGACATGCAGTATCGTAGACTGACTAAAATTTGACATGCACACCGCTAAATCCAAGTTCGTTGATATTAGCGTTCAGCACTGGACGGCCGTTTCGTCCTGGTATGGGACTCATCAGCAGTACGCATGCACGACTCCTGTACTACCTCGCAGGATTCAAACCCCGGGACCTTCGGTATTGTGCGCGAACGCCTAACCTCTCTGGCCCCTGTGGGCCAGCATCCAACAGTGTTAATGTCTAACTCTGACTGATCTAGGAATTTTGCACGTGTAAAACCACTAATATCCATAACTCTTAATTGAAAATTAACATTCATTTTATTTTTTCTATTTCTATTTTGTCTTATCTAACTTTCAGTTTAGCTATAGAAGTACACTACGAGTTATGGATGGTGTTGATTTGACATTGCCTTATTCATTGCCTGGAGTACAAATATTTGATCGACTAATTAAAGATGGTGATTAAATTTTTAACTTCATTATTATTAATTACTGTGTTTAATTTATATGATTGGTTGTAAATTTTTTCTCCCTTGGTTATTATCTTTAAATTTCATAATGTTGTACAGTTATTTTTTTAACCGCCCAAAACACTAAACAGAAACATTTGAGTTATTGTTTAGAACTTGCTAACATTTAACACATATTAATCATCATGAATTGTACACAAATTTGTATGTCCTACACCATTGAATGATATTCTACAATACTTTGGAAAAAAAAGAACAACATTATTTTACCTGTGCTCATTTTTAGGATTTTGTGCGACAGTAACTAACGCATCAGGTTCTCACATAAAACTTTGTTGGAAAAAATGTATAGAAAAACTAATTTTAGTTTGCAAGTCATTGTGGATATTAGTAACCAGATAAAATTTCATAGATAAGAAATTCTATGTTGAATGACTAAAAATAGAAAGTTTTGAAATTCCAGATGTAATAGCTTGAGATAAAATAATATTAACTTCTTCTTTCTTAAATAATAATAATGATCATAACTTAAAATATATCTCAGAAAACTTACAATTATACGTCTCCCGTTTGGCTTGCGTTGGCACCTGAACTAGTGATAGAGAGTGGAGTAGTCGAGTGTGTCGACCGCTTCACTTATCTTGAGAGTTTCATCAGCGCTGATGGCCTGGTGACTGACGAACTCTCAGCACGCGTACAGAATGCTCTATTGGTTTTTGCCAACCGGTGTTATTTATAGCGTAGGCCAGATATCCGTTTGCTAACCGAAAGACGAATGTACAGAGCAGCAGTTCGCTCCGTCCTACTATACGGATGCGAAACATGCCCGGTAAGAGTTGAGGATATTCGTGGGTTGTTAGTATTCGATTATAGATATCTTCGGAAGGTTGCTAGTGTATCCTAGGACAGCCGAGTAAGCAGTGCTGTCGTTAGGAAACGGGTACTAGGTAGAGATGGCAAATCAATAGGTGAAGTATTGAAATTCCATCAGTTGAGGTGGTTGGGACATGCGTTACGTATGTCCGACCACTGACTGTCTCGACGAGCTAAGTTTTGTGGTGTAGAAGTAGATTGGAAAAAAGTTAGGCGTGGTCAAAGCAAAACATGTCAAAAATCCATAAAGTCAACTGACATGTGGACTGAGTCATGTTGGTAGATGTAGGCCACCTGGTTGGGGTTCGCGAGACGATAGTAACTGATGGTTAGAGATCTTGTATGATGTGGCTAAAAATCGTTTGCTACGGCGCAGGTGCGTCCATTCTTTGTGTTATCTGAAATTATAATCTTCTGAATTCCACATCATCTCTACCATTGTCTTTCTAAAGTAATTTCACTGAACTATACTTCTTGAATAATATCTTCCAGCCTTAATCTTCTCGATTACCGCTAAAACGTCTACCATCTCTACCATCATGGGATTTGAACTGAGAATTGCATCTTTGCGCTAATCTAGTATGGCAACCTGAACTTATGTACTTATGTACGAAGTTCTACGTTGTAACTGACTGACTGACTGACATAACTTGTGTACCGAAATGTAATAAATTAAATAGAATAACAATCCCATCTAATTATATCGATCGATTTTTATCGCACATCTTAGCTTATTGGTTATGACACTCACTTTATTGTTAGATAGTTTCTTTATTATTCTTTAAGATAGAACTCACCAAAAATGTGGACAAATATACGAAGCTGAAGTAACCAATTTTTTGACATTTCCTAATTTATTCCATAAGTCATGATCAAGTATTAATAAAGTACTGTCTATTCAATGATAATGAGTCATCACCTAAATTAAGATCTGATTTGAAAAAAGCATAAAATTATTCTACACTATAGAAAAATTAAATTATCTCCATCATGATTGAAACATTAATGTTTCTTGGCATGTATTTTCAAACAAAGTCTCCATTTTCTTAGTGTCAGGAAAATTAACGTTCCTAAAGAAGGAATCAATTTCGTTGTTTACTAAATAACTCAATCGACGAGTTGTTTACAGATTAGATTATCAATACTTAACGTAAAAGACTAATATTATTACAAACAATTATAGCTCTATTTACCATTATAAACTCTTTTACGGTACAGAATTTTTAATCTCAAATGTGCAATTACATAATTTTAACGGTCATAATCTATCACATGTATTCAATCATTAAAGTTTTATACCACCTTGGCTATTCAAAAGAACTATTTTCCAGCCTAACATATAAATATAAGGTCATTGAGTTCCAGTATATTTATTTGTCTCTCATTTTATTAAACAATAGATAATAATTAAAAGGTGCTAAGAATTGTAGAATTTCTGTTCAAGTTTCTCGGTATTTAGTTTAGTAATAATTTGTAAACCTTTTATAGAAGTACATAAACGCATAAATTTAACATTCCAAATTCATCAAACAGTTCAGACAAATCTAAAACAAAATGTAATATTTGCACAGCTAGAAAGTGAGTGGTCGAAATGTTTACGTAGGCTATTTTTATCGTAACAGGTTGGTTAGTTAGTCATCTGTAATCAGATGGATGGACAGAAACCGTTTACAAGTATGATGCTACTAGGGTCTGTCTGACACTCTGTGACTACATTCTTTTATTACTTTCAATTAAAATTAATATTTTCAGGCAGAGTTTTGGAGGTTTGTGTTTTTACACATTTGAAATCATCAATCAATCATTGTTATACCACCATTAGAAACCTGGAAGCATTGGACGACCGTTTCGTCCTGGCATAGGGCTCATCAGCAGTGCGCATCGACTAGTGTCTAGCTTCGTGAGGAAATTCTCGGAGTTCTAGTTGAGAAGACGTGACCAATGGAGTTCAACCCTGTCGGGTGAAGGCAGTAACTACCAAAGACAAATGGGTGAGGTGGTGCAAAACTTCTAGATCAATCAGAGTTAGACATTAACATTGTTGGATGCCGGCCGAATTTCCCGGGTTCGAAACCTGCGGGGTGCAGGAGTCGTGGATGTGCACTTCTGATGAGACCCATACCAGGACGTAAACGGCCGTTCAGTGCTTCCAGGTTTCTAGTGTCGGTCTAACAGTGACTGATTGATGATTTCAAATGTGTAAAATTAATATGATAATAACTGACTGACTGACATAAGTTTAGACAGAAAACTTCAGAATACAAATAGGTATATAAATTCATACACAAGTTGAATGCAATTTAATATTTTGAATACTAATCATTCGTTATTCTCAAACGACACTATCTTTTAATGCAGACATTTTACAGTATAACTATAAAATGTTGTAGGTCATTTAATCCATACTAAAAAATCGATTAAAAGAATGAGTAGTAATCACACCACAATATCGACAGAATTTAATGTTTCGAATTAACAATGCAGAAAATTTAAAGAACTGTCACCTTCTATAAACCAAATGTCACTTACACCACAGAGTAAAGCATACTGTGCGTGGTTTAAATGAAACCGAAGAAGGAATGAAATGCTATAACATCATCAAATTCATTCAGATTATAGCCGATATTGAAGAAGGCTTTAGTGTGTATAAATTTTCCAATAATCGATAGTAGTTAACATTAAATTTAAGTTTTAGCATCCAGCTAAAGGCGCTTTGAACTCCAGGTAGTAATATGCAGTGATCATTAATATGATCAAGCACTATGAAAATTAATAGCAACCTAATAATACTGTATATGAAATTTACTTTCAAGAAATAGCTTTAACTTAAAAGTCAATTGAGTGTGCAAAAAAAATTTGTTCTCAATGAGATATTTCCTAATATCTTATCATTTTAATTACAACTCACATTTTTCAATTAAATAAACTGATCAGTTGAGAATTGAATCATTTTCTTGATTTCCAATTCATTTCACATACTAGGTTCCTCTTTGAAATTCGATCATTATCGTACATATAAGTTTAAACCGTAAAACTACTTCACTTTTTTCTAAATGCATAAATTCCGGGTTGATAATTTAATATTGTTCTGTTAATGAACCCCTTGGGGAGTTGCAAATAGATCCACTAAACGGTGTTTATCAATTACTTGGGAAGCCTATAGTACAACCCGGTTTTTCAGAGTTTGTAACTTTATTAATAGTTTGGTCTCTGATAAAGATGAGACCCGCCTAGTTCATTTCAAAGTATGCAGCCAAGTATGTATCGATACAAGAAACTGGGGAAAGTTTCCGTTTGAAGTTAAGTTCCATGTTAGTCTTTTTTTTTATAGTATGCAGTGACCTAATTATTAACCGATAGCCTGAATATTCACCGTTAAGGCAAAGTTTTAAAAACTTATACATTTTAAAAGCAGTAGCTAGTTGATTGATTTCTTGTAATTTTATCTTATGGAAACAGCCTTTCTTGTTGAAATCCTAAAACTCTTTGCTTTACTATTATGCGAGTCTTCAAAGTGTTGTCTTGTTGATCATAAAATCTATTTCTTATTATGTATTGATCTGTAAAAAATTCAACAAAACTTGTCATGCAATTATTTACTAAACTGAAATGTTTTGTAGTAAAACCGTTCTTAAGTTGAATGGTTGCTTTAAATATCTAGTTACGTATCTAAATGAAACTCTATAGACAATTATGTGTCTTACAGTAATCGATGGTCAAAACTAAATTCTGACATGAATCTGTTTGACTTTAGTAGTGATTTTTAACGTGACTGATTACTGAGGAATATTTTTGAAAAGTCTCTTAAAATATCTAAAGATATGCTTTGTTCTGCATTGGGAATCTCTAGTGATGCAGACCGAAAACCTTATGAGGGGTCAAACCTGAGATTTTTATATTTCATACGGAGTAGATTAGCAGTCTACATTACAAACTTCAGCCAGTGCACTTGGTGAACATCTTTCAGTGTAACCACCAATATATGTCTCATTGTCGATATTAATGGGCATTCATTGCTAGGATTGCATGTTAAAACCTGGAGAACTGATCTCAAAACTCGTAATTCGTAATATAAAATTTGTTGAGACCAGTATCCTAAGTTCCGTTCCAATATTCTTTTCTTCATAGACATATTTCATCCATGAAACAAATGGAAACGAGGGGGTATTGAAGTGTGCCATTTAATTAACCTGCACAAAACATCCAACTAAATAGCATCAAGCTAGGTTGATTTATTTTGTTGAAGATGAATAACTTCAACATCTTTCATTTGATTGGATTATTTATGCTGAATATAATATCCAAACCGCTTTGTTTTCTATGCCGTTTGTATAAAAATGAGCTACATTGAACCTTGAAAGAGAGATATCTTAGTACCATTTCATGTGAAATTGTTATATAGATCTTTAATTTCTTTGTTACAACATAATTTGAGTACTAGATCAGTAGCTTTATTATCACTCAATAAATTTTTGAATGGATCGTCTTTTCAGAGCAAATAAAGACATAGATATTGTAAATGGAATAGTAACCACATGCTCATTACTGACTAGTATTAAGATGGGTTTCCAGAGGTTCTACTGGGAAACCATAGTTCATGGAGTGAACTGTGTCAGTAGTGCTATTATAGTTCACAGCGTGTAGTGGTCGTGCTTCATAAGAAATTAACAATAGTATAAAATACAAGTTCCATAATTCCTACTCAGTGATCTGTAAGGATTGTACTCATTTAAAACTCTGAATAATCAGGGTTAGATCCCAACACAGCTTTATGAATGTACATTGTTGAGGAGTCTTTGGTTCCTCAGTAATGCGCATCAATAAAATTAAAAAAAACACTTTTCGTGCGTCCTGTTTGTTTTTTATAATCCTTCAAATGTTACCACTTCTTGAAGTAATCTCTGTCTTTAGAGTCATATATCAGATTCATTTATGTATCATGTTTATAATAGTTTGTGCATTGAAGTTTGTTTTAATCGAAGCTGAATGGTTCTACTTACATCACTAAACTGTATCAACTTTAAATTCTGAAAGATTCTTTCAACTGGTGTCTACCAAATAATGTCTAACTGATAGGAACGATATCGGCATAGAAGTGAATTCAACCGACAATTTTTAATATAAGAAACCAAACAGTCACTATTCTATTGAATTCTTTTGTTAACAAATATACATTATTAAACATTATGAAGAATGAAATAATTCATATTCAATATCACTATTAACCAATATTTGTTGATATACACAATCTTATTAAAATAAGTAACCAATGAAATCCTATATAATATACATAGGATAAACTAAAAAAAAGTACATAAAAACGGTTAATTAAATTGGAGCAAGCGAGACAATCAGTAAGCTGATCACTAGAAGAAACACAGTTCGTCATTCATTGACGAATATAGTTATCATTTACAATTTCTTATTTTGTTACAATCAATATACTTTGAATTGTCATGTAAAACACTACTTAATAATGATTGAAATCAGAAAATTGTGTAGGTGGAGGTGGGGACAGGGGCATTGCTTGAATTACCGGTGGTGCTTTCAATGATGATGTGAATGAGATAGTCGGTGGCAGAGTAGATGTCTTCAATGGAAATTGATTGTAATCATTGGAATTTAAATTTGTTGTTGTATCTTGTATTGTTTTATACAACATATAATTATTATTTTCATTTGTGATATAATTATCATTCTGGTTAGTGTAATCTCTTCCTTTATTATTAAGCAACTGATCAAAATATCCATTGGTTACATAACCATCATGCAGTGATGATGATAAAAGGTTATATGAAGGTTGTAGATATTTTGAACTATTGTCATTATGATTATTATTATTGTTATCACTACTATTTGTCATCATAGAATGATCTAGATTTACAGGGAACCTTGAGTGTTCATTGATTTTATAAGGGTCATTTGGATGATAAGTGTTTAAGTTGATCATTGATCGACCATTGAAACTGTCAACATTTTCATTAAAACTATGTTTATCTAGTGGTAATTGTTGCACTGAAGTTACACAACATGATGGTTGTTTTACTGTATCATGCCATGTCATATGACGATTAGATAAATATAGATTTTTTGGCATTGTGGCAAATCCATTTGCTGGTAAATATTCACCATGATATCCTGTTGTACCAAGGGAAGAATGTCGATAGGCTTGTTGATTGCGTTGTTGTTCTTGATGTTGATTTTGATAATAATTTTGTGTAGAAGAAAAATCATACATACCATAATTCCCATCAATATTAGTGTTTGCCTGTAACATTGATTCACTAAATGGTATCGGATAGACAGTACCTGTGTCAATCATACCATCAATTGTATTTCCTGAAAAGATTTTATACTCGGAACTGTCATGATAATTAAGACCATTTGGTGAGGATGGATCGATTGATGTCCATTGTCTGGCTGATTTATAATTACAGCCTGAATCTTGTGTAATTATACTAGAAATATTAGATCTGTTATAATAGAACATTAAAAAAAAAGTGTAAGCATTAGTCATTCAAATAATTTTTGGAAGATTTTGTACAAAATAACTATCCATATTACATAATCTAATCACAATCCCTGTTTTTTTTAGCTTCCCTACAAATTTACGATCAAGTTTAGTCCATTGAATAGTTGACATAATTAATTGATCAAAGTTATTTCGCCCCTAAATTTTTCACTATTATTTTCTTCAGTCTCCATACTTTTCTCATGAGTATTTTGAGTCTAATTTTTCAGTTAGAGTTTTGGAGATTTGTGCTTTTACACATTTGAAATCATCAATCAATCATTGTTAGACCACCATTAGAAACCTCGAATCACTTGACGGCCTGATATGGGACTCATCAGCAGTAAATACCAACGACAAATGGGTGAGGTCGCGCAAAATCCATGGATCATTCAGAGTTAGACATTAACACCGTTCGATGCCGGCTCAATGGTCCAGAGAGGTTAGGCGTTCGCGCACAATACCGAAGGTCCCGGGTTCGGATCCTGCAAGGTGCAGGAGTGGTATATGCGCACTGCTGATGAGTTCCATATCAGGACGAAACGGTCGTCCAGTGCTTCGAGGTTTCTAATGGTGGTCTAACAATGATTGATTGATGATTTCTATAGTCTATCTTTTGTTGTCTAATATTCTATACACTTCACCCTATTATGATTTAACTAGAGACATAAATAAATAAATTTTGTGTGCTGCTGTTAAAATGAAACTGTATTGAACAGATATTTAGTCATAATTATACTGCAGATCTTAAAAAAGAATCATTTCCTCGAAATGCAGGAATTAAACAACAGTCTACATTTTAAAGTTCGTGAAAATACACTCCTTTTTAAACAAAATTAACCTTCTCCTCGAATCAGCATAACATATCTGCGTAACAAGCATAGTAGGTTTGTTGAGATTCTTTAAAAGTACGAATCTGAGTAATTAAAAACATTCTGAAAATGATACTTTTGTTTCACACAATTATCATTTAACTTCAGAAATTAAAGGTGATTTGTACCCAGATTGTACTATACAATCTAATCGTTTGTCGTTTATTCATCACCGTCTAACTATCGACAGACTTATTTCAGTTTGGATGAAATTATCTAAATGACAATCCACTATTGTCCATTTTCCTTTTAAACAAAAGTATCAAATGATAGTAAGAAAATATTCTTCAAGGCGAATAATTGAAATTGTTTATTAGGAATTTATATTCTACAAATTAGTTGAGTTTACAAAAAAAGTAAAAGTATGCTTTTACTGTCACAAATAATGTTTTTTCTTTTAGGGATGTTAGATCCTCAAAACTTGCTTGATAAATATCTTTATTTTGGTTTTATTTCATGGACCGATCAGTTGACCTTGAGATCACATTTCGCACCAGGAAAATCCTTGGCTGTGATTGATTACTGTGTTATTTTAGTGTGCTATTTTGTGACTTTCCAAACGACGTCTCTATGGTGTATAAATAAACGTGATTTGGATGTTTGGATTCATTGTGTGCTGGCTGGGTGTTTGTAGAATACACTTTCTACACTATATCAAGACTTCTTGCTAGTACATTGGAACAATCGGATCCGAGGAGCCTACTTGAACGCTGGTTGATGGTTTTGTTCTCGTTATTCGACTAAGGTGAACCCGTAATAGTTTTAAACATACCTAGAGACGAGTGTAACATTTTTCTGAAAAGACCTCAAATGAATAACTTAACATAATCATAAATCAATCTTATGTGTACACTTTTGCTCATAAAAAGAATAACATTTGATCACTTACTTTTTATCCGTTTTTTTCGGTTTACGACGCATTAGGCAAAAAACTAATCCAATACACCCTATGCTTATAGTTATGATGAGGGCTAGACCAACAGAAGATATAATAATAATTTTTCTCCAATTCTAAATAAAATAAAAATAAAGAGAAATGGAAGGTAACTTATTGAGAGATAATCAATGCCTCATTCATTCATCATCAGTATCAACTACTAAATAATAATAGCTGTGCATTAATGAGTTGTCTGAGATCACCAACGTCCATGTTTTCAATTTGATTAGTAGCATTTTAATGGAATTATTGAAAGAGAATCAATCATAATTTTGGTAACACAAAAAAACGCGCTTGAAACAGTTTACACGATACCTACTGTTAAAACATCATATTTTATTTTGACAAAATTAGTAACAACGATTATATTTGTTTGTAATGCTCTATGAATAGATCTATAGATCTATAAAATATTTCTAGAGGGATGGTGTCAAATGGGAATGATATTACATACTACGATTGTAGGTAAAATATGACAGCCTAAAATATTCAGTACACTTAAGATTATCAGCAGTGCGCATCCTAAACTTCCGCTACTCGCAGGAAATGAACTAAGGACTTTCGATCTTGAGATCGAACGCCAAACTTCTGGAACGACGGGCCGGCTTCCAATGGTATTAACGTCTAACTCGGATCAATAAACTGTCTTCGGAGAGCACTGCTTCACATTCGAATAACGTTCGAACTCCACTGGTCATGAATTATCACCAGGGCTCGGAGAAACTTTCCCAAAGGACAAGAAGGAAGGTCCTGGGTTTGATTTCTGCGAGTTATGGGAGTCGTTGATGTACAATGCTGATGGGTCCCAAACCAGAGCGAAACGGCAGACCTGTGCTTTAAAGTTTCTAATGGTGGTCTAACAAGGATTGATTCATGATTTCGAAGCAAATCAATAATTTCCACAAGCCTATGCTGAAAATTAAGATTATCAACAAATTATTAACTATACCATAAAACATTACAACTCAAATCAGACTAAACCAATGAAAAAAGGTTAAGCGAACAATAAAAGATAAGAAGTATTCTTCAGAAAAGTAAACTTTATAGGCGAGTTCCCCTATAACTTTGTCTTACCAAATACACAAATGTTTTAAATGTATTAACCTTATATCTGTTATCAACCGGGTGAATGGCCATCAGACTAGCAAATATTTTTATTCCTTTCAGGAACAAGTTTCTTGATTCAGGTACCCAGTCCGTTATTCTGATAATATACGGGTTTCTAAAACTATGTCTAAATTCTTACTTATAGCCGAAGGTGATTTCACGTAACGTATATATTTTTGATTGTTATATGAGAATTTGACGTGACACATTGAAAACCACTGGGCTGTAATGAAATCTCTTTAAATGCATAGCTTTAATTCTCTGTTCCATTATTCATGAACTATCGTTTCTGGTGCAAAAAAGTATGGAAAATAACAAACTTTTGATTTTTGGTTAGATTTTTAGGATGTCTATAAAATGTTTACTGATATTTTGTTTTAAATTTCAAACAATAGTCTGTTCCTTATAAGATTTATGTTCCTCTGTGTTTTTATTACAATTTCATTAAAAAAAGTCTAATCTTACTATTCATTCTAAGTTGTAAGCTGTTTTCTCTGAATAAAGAAAACTTCAGACAGAATCGATTTATTTTATTCAGCAACCCATGCATTGATTTGTTCAGAAATAATTCAAAGAAGTGGATCTATGAAATTCTCAATTAGTTAACTTAACATTCACTTTATTCCTGTTTTATTTGTTACACTATTTTACTTTTATTAGGTTAGAAACTGAATTTTATGCTGAATAACCAATCAGCCTATAAAACATGATAAATATTTTCCTAATATTTGAGTAATAGAATTTTGTCAATAGAAAACCATAAAACTAAGCAGGATATTTCATGAACAAATTTACTGAAACTAATACAGAACTTAAAGCCACGTTGCAAAATTCAAATCAGGAAGTTAGACATGATTAAAACTTAAATTAACCTTTGTATACCAGACTGACTTCTCTGAATTATACACTCAGTTGAGTACTGAATTACATCACCGTACTCTTTAAAATATAAATATCAACTATTTCTTTTAATAAAAATTATTCCTATTTCGGTATTTGAAATACACAATTTTATTAGAATGATTGGTTTGACCGGGCCACTTTATGTGAATTTGATATGAAGTAATTAATGCGTACTGTCAACTGTTGTATTAATTCAAGTGTTTAACTGAGCCATATAGATTACAAGGTCTATTTTAAATTTATACATGTAATCCCTTCTTCATTTTGATGTGACAAAAGAATTCATAAGAAAATTTAAATATGGGAATCTTCTAATCGTAAGCCATACATTTTTATTGATTAAGGTGAGCAATTAATTAATATATTATAATAGTATAAATTACCCATTCAGTGTAAAAAAGAATATGCCAACAAATGTTTATCTAAACTTCATGATTGTCAATATCAAAGTTTATGGGGATCACTGAGTATTATTGATATCGCGAATCGACCTTAATTAGAAATTCACTTAAAACTATTAAGCGGTGGAGTGCCGTTTAGTCCTAGTATACGAACTCATGGAAGTGTACATCCATGACTCCAATGAGGATTGATTCCAGGATCGTCAGTCTCTTGAGCGGATGCTTAACCTGTCGACCAATGAGCCGGCATTTAATAATGTAGATGTATGACGTTAATCGGTTTGCGGTACTATGCAGTCGTCTTCAGTGGTTAACTACTTTACATACGACACATCTGCGATCGTAGATGTGCACTGCTGAGCACTTCCATGCTAGAATGAAACAGCCTTCCAGTACTTCCAAAAGTTCGATGAAAGTCTCACTTAGGTTGATTCTTGATACTCATAAAAGTAACATTTTAATTTTATGAATTGAAAAATAGTAACATTTCAAAATTTTCCTGAGGGATATTGAAAATAACTTTTCAGACTACTAAGTCAGTGAATGGCTACTAGTTGTTCAGTGATTGGGGATTACTTAATACTATCGATGAAGTTTTCAGTAATACACTTATATCAAGTTATTAGGTATGATACTATCCAACAATTTGTTTCAGTCAATGTGTACCAATGAAAATAATTCCTTGGTGTAAAGTTTTCTGGCGATTGATGTAAAACATTCAGCACAAACTAGTAGTCTGTTTTTTTCAAGGCTGGTAGAATTCCTTTTCTTATGGTGTAAGACTGAAACGAAGTTTGATTAATAGGTGATGATAAACGTTCATCGTATTACCTATGTCTATATATTAATTCTTTGAATCGGAAACAGTCTAAATACTTATCTCAACGGTCTGTACATATTCACATACATGCTAATATACACAAATACTTTTAATTTGACTACTGAATTGAACCTACACGACTAATTTGGTCGAACTGGTAACAGCATGTTACCTATTTTTTAATTACACTTTTTGTCATCCATGTCAGTACTTTAACTTACAAATTGTATTAAATTAACTATAAACTGATAATGCACACCACTGAACATTACACTCATATAAGATAAACATTCTCATCTTGAAATTATTTATAAAACTATTAATATTTGAAATACAAATTGGCTATATGATAAACATTGTCTGTTATTGATTGCCAGTGCGCTGTATTTAGTCGTATGAAAACTGTACGAAACCGTATCATCGGATATATATATATATATATATATATATATATATATATATATTTGTACACAGAAAAATTATTTTACGAAATTCATTGATACAAATCATTTATACATTAAGGCATTATGATTAGTTTAACGGTATCAAAGAACCGACCATCACCTAACTAGTTTTGTATTAGTAAATTATACTTTATAAAGAACTGAATGAATTAAAAAATTGTTCTGGTTTAATTATTAGTGAAATATATTTTACGTCTGTGAATAGGTTTCATTACTACGGTTAATTTATGCTTCATTTTCAGTTCAAATTATCACTCAATAATCAGTGTTTATTAGTCAGTAATTCTCAATTTTCAGTAGCTTAATTATTGAATCATAAAGCTTTCAGTTGATTGTTGTGTCTAATTCATTTTGAACAATTGGGCCCTATCACTAACTCTTGTAGCTAAAGGCTGAGTAAATGAATCAGTACTTAATCACTAACTTATATCAGTCCATTCAATTAATTTGGTATGAGAAAATTATGCTTAAGATTTTAGCCAAATATCAAATTTTGGATTGTTGATTTATGCAGACACTTGTGTATCAAACAAACAGTTTGAGTGCGAGGCATAAGAAAAACTTTTGTGTATGCATAGAAATGTTTACATTCTCTTTATCTCCGCGAAAGCTGTATACCTCTCAGTAATTTCGATTTCCAAAGGCTTTATGGTCCCTTATTTACTCCCATATTGGCAATGAGCTATTCAAATTTATGACTAGATTACATTTTTTAATCAAAATAGTTAAATCACCACTTAGGAATAAAGTGTGACAATATTCACAGTTCAGTACATTGGCAATTCGCATTTCAGAATTGTTTTGTTGAACAAACACTTTTTACATTCTAGTAACAGGTAATTATTATTAAATCAGTATGTAACAGCTTGATAGCTGTTGTATTACAGTCCTTTATGGTGTGACGCTTTCAACAGCTTCATAACATTTGTTTTCTAAAGCTCACAAAACATAGAATTTATGAAATTTTTGATGCTACTTTTAATGAAACTGCCAATATTTTTATATACAGTATTAATATATTCTTTTCATACTTTTCTTCTTTTCTTACAGAATCACTTATTGTTTATCATGCTCACAAAAGTACTAATTCTTTATCACAAGGTGACATTGCTTCAACTAATCGTGATAACACTTTTTCTTCGAATTTTGATACATTTAACTCTCAAGGTCATTGCAACTAATCAAAGCGACGTATCACGCTTAACTAACAATATTTTACTGAACTGGTCAATTTATATTCCAAAAAACACTTGAATTTATAGATAATTCTTCTTGGTAATCCTTGTTTATAAATAATTTGAAATTATATTATATGAGAAGGCAGACAATATAAACAAACCTGTCCAATGATATATTTTGAATTTTTCATTGGTACAACTATTTCTGTGAATGATGCAATCGGTGATGTACTCAATGCTAATGGATTGTTAGTTACAGAGTTTACAGAATGTTGAGTAATTGGAATTGATTGTGTTGAAATGGATGAATTATCTTTGGAATTAAGTAGTTTAGTTTCTTGCTTTTTGTCAATATCTTTAGGTTTTACTTGTACACTATCAGTAGTAGTTGTAGTAATATTTAATAAAGGTTTGTGTTGAACTGAATTATTTTTGTTGAATTCATCGGTTTTTAATCGAGGCGTGTTAACGCTCCCAGGAGGCAGATTAGTAAACATTTGATTTTTCAACTCACAACGTAAACCTTTATAATGAGTTGGACATATACACAATGGTGTATCATTGGCATCCGCATTTGGATTGTTCATGCATAATCCATCATTTAAACAATAATTTTTATAGTTAGCACATTGATCCAGTCGACATAGTTGTAGCTTTTGATCCATGTAATAACCTAAATTTGAAAAAATGGAGGAGTATTCAAAAGAAAATCAATAAACAGTCTTGTTTACGGAATCGAGGATTTTGACTACTGTGAAGTGAATACAATAATCTCATTGGAAGTTGAACTTTGGATCTATAAGTCCGATGATGAGTGCTTTAACATAGATGCATGTAAGATCTTTAACGCTTTACTCCATTTTAAAAATTATGTTCTCATGAACATTGACTTCTCAACTTTCAAATGTTAAAAATTAGTATCAAGTTTTATGTAAATTGCTTCATCGATTAAACCTTTGGCATAATAGTTTATAACTAGCACAGATTTATATTTTTGCTATCAATACGTAGTTATCGACCTAATAGACGTTCTACTTCCCCGTTCGTTACTTGATTTTGAACTATCCTATACCTAAAATACTTGAGCTAATAAATATCAAACAATTTATTTAATATGTAATGTGTTATTAGAGATTGCATGTATTGTTGTTTGAAATACTTTTATGATGAAAAGTTTGTTCAGAGAAAGTAGTTCATGTTTGTCATTTAGACAGTTTTAAACTGCTTCATTCGAGCCAACATCCTGGATCGGTAGATTATAGTTCAGTTTTACTACACCAGTTATAAGAGTGCATATATCTCACCCATATCATGTACAAGTCACCCCAATGATGTGCCGGGCAATACTGGGAACATCACTGGCACCAAACATTAATGATTTTGCTGTATTCTTCAAATTATGTTTATGCAAGAAAATTTGGAATATTTCTAGACCTTAACAGAAATGGAACAATAAATCTTACAAAGTTTCCGTTTGAAGATGATTCGTAAGCTATCTAGGAACATACTCTTTCAATATGGATTTACAGTTCGTTAAATTAAAAAAAAATTGACAGGCGTAATCTGTTTGCAGAAATACATAGATCTCTTGCACATATGAAATAATGCCATAAATTTACATCTGGAGGGAAGTATGGGATACAAAGCATAACCAAGATGTAGCTGGCCGAAATGGACTTCCCAGATTATCTGAATCTTCTATCGCAAATGCAACAACAGATGCAAGAGAAGACGACCAGTGTAGCAGCAGCCTCTGCAGCAGCAGCAGGTCTCAACATACATAAAGGGAAAAGCAAGATTCTCCGATACAACACAACGTGCACCAACCAAATCACTCTTGATGGAGATTCTTTCAAGGACGTTAATACCTTTAAATATCTGGGCAGCATCATCAACAACCAAGGTGGATCCGATGCAGATGTGAGGGTGCGGATCGGCAAAGCAAGGGCTGCATTTTCACAATTGAAAAATATCTGGAACTCCAAACAAAGATTAATCAAAACGAAAATCAGGATTTTCAATTCAAATGTCAAGACATTTCTACCATATGGAGCGGAAACTTGGAGAACTACCAAAGCGATCACCCAGAAAATACAAGTACTTATAAACAATTGTCTACGCAAAATACTTCATATTCGTTAGCCAGACACCATCAACAACAGCTTACTGTGGGAGAGAACAAACCAGATTCCAGTGGAGGAGGAAATCAGGAAGAAGTTGGGAAAGTGGATAGGACACACACTGAGAAAAGCACACAACTGCGTCACAAGACAAGCCTTCAAATGGAACCCTCAAGGCAAAAGGAAAAGAGGAAGGCCAAGGAACACATTACACCGAGAAATAGAGAAAGACATGAAAAGAATGAACAAAAATTGGACAAAATTGTAAAGGGAAACCTAGAACAGAGTAGGTTGTGGAATACTGGTCGACGGCCTATGCTCCATTGGGAATGATAGACGTAAGTAAGTAATAAAAAAAAGCTTGACTGATTTTAAATGTTGAAAATACAACATATGACACTCTACAGAAAACGTCTCGAAATTTCAGGATTTAAAGTATCTGTCTGATATGGTTTCATCATTTCTAAGTAGTGCATACTAATAGTATATCAATGACCAATAGATCATAACTTTTAACTCTTTTAGTTTATGGATTATATATATAGATATATGTTACAATAGCGGTTTCATTATGTAAAGCATGAGTCTAATTTTCTAAATTATCAACAAAACCCAACTAACCTGGTTTGCATAACATATTTCCTAGATGATCACATCGATATTCCATAGCTTTAATGTCGCAAAATTTTGTACAAAACTTTCCAAAATAGTTTGGTAAACATGAATAGGCGACATGAAAACGAACTATCCTGAAGAAGTGTTTAGTCGTAATGAAAGAAATAAGGAAAGTGAGCAGTAAAAACTTTTGGATACATTTGATTTTGCACGTACGTAAAATAGAACAACAAAATTTCAACACTCTGGAAGATAAACATATATTGAACACGATGTTTAGCATAGCGTCCCTAATTTACTGAAACCTTTAATAGCCGAAACTTCAATGAAAAATGTTTGTATATACTGTATCAAGAATACAGAGCAACAGAACTGTCAAAGCAAGGCAGATCGATGTATAAATATGTACTCAAGTTCAGGAGACTGGATTACAAAAAATGTATAACTCCACATATCTCCCTATTGGTTACTCTTAACAGATGGTAAGAATTTTTTAAAGTACTAAAACTCCTACGCAGGTTTATTTATTTCTTTGTATTACATCAGTGACTTACTTGTTTGATGAAAACTTATTGCATCCCCACTTTATGTGGATGTTTACTGAATTAGACTGCGAAGATATTGATTATCAGTGTCTACATTAGAAAACTAGATTCAATGTGCTTACTTAAAGATTACTTGTTTCACCTAGAGTACCATTGTCAGTACATACTCCTAAGCTGTCCTAAATTAAAACTGCACAGTCATCTAATTTTCAACGCCTCAACATCGGTGCATATCACCTAAATGTTCCTCTGTATTGAACAGGGTTTTTTAAACAATCTATCTTTATCAATATTCCTCAAGAACGAATTAGTCATTCTAATGTTATTATTCCATATAAAACAAACAACTAATTGACGGTTTATTTACACTTATCATTATGAATCTTAGTCAATACATTTGATTGTTTATATATAATAAGCATATATGTCCGATTCTTCACTACTAAACTATTCACAAACTAACTAGAAAGGAAACTTATATATTTATTATATTATCAAATACCTATTCGAAAACAATTCGTTGAGAGACTAGAATAACATGTTACACATATATATAAATAATACAATAAAATATATGTAAACATTTATGATAATCTCTGTGACATCTCTATGAAATGATTAAATCAATAGGTGTAGTAAATAAACGTCTGTTATCTTCATTCATTCTAGTTTTTTTTTTTTCAATGAATATCGATTTTACAAACCATAATAAGTGAATAAATATTCAACTGAAGTCAAATTCGGTCTCACGATATTAAACAGTATACTACGTCAATAATTGTGAATTATTTAACTACAACAGAATAATGGTCAAGCTTTAACTGTCTGACTAAGTTACATTATTGATTGTGACTGGTGCATTCTGTGATTATGCTTATTTATGATGCTACTGAGCTAGTTGTATTAGACTTATGACCTTGTGTAATTGCTATTGAGATATTTTAATGTAGAATAGAAACGTCATTTTCATCGATCGAGTGGTATAAATATTTGAATAGCTGAAAATGATTACCTGGTTGTATTAACAACAACCAATAGTAAATATTAGAAAATGTTTTCTTACTGTTTTTATTATTAGTAGTAATCGCTTGGAAAGTTTCATTTATCTGCGAGTCACTTAGTAGCTAGACCGATTACGACGAATAATACGCTGTCTCAATCAGACATATCAGTTCAAGTTCAAATAATAAGTGAGAGCTGATGATGGGTATATACTATTGGCCATGATTTAGCTCAACCCACTAAGGAAATGGATATACTTTTGGGGACGAAAACTTGGCTTAAATTTCTGAGGAAGTAGTATTTTTATGAATGAGTTATACGTATACTCTTGATTTGGGTTAGCCACTAAAAACAGTTAAATCACCAATTGTTTTCACTTAAACAGTTAGTCGGACTGGCATATTGGTAGCGTCTGTATGGATTTCGAATTCGTACAGTGATATGATATGATCCCTTATCTAGTTAGAATCATTTATCATCAAAAAATTCAAAATACCCATTTAGCATTTCTTGGCTTTCAGATCCGTTTCAGTTTGACAGAAGTTTTTAAATAACATAATTTTTAACCTGATGACTTTGTTCTAGTGACCAAGTTTAGATTAAGCAACTTGATGTTTATTAGAAGAAATCATTAGTTTATACTTTTATAAAAATAAAAATAACTTACAACGAAAGATCAGATGATGTGACAGCTAATTCATTTTCTTCCGGTAAACGAAATTCAGTATTACGAAGTTGTTGAATTTTCGGTTCACCTACTTTTTGCACTGTAACTTTTAATTCAATTGGACTTTCCTATGAAAAAAAATTTAAATCGATCGTATACATGAAACGATTTCAAATAAAACAGCACTAAGTTTAACTTTATCATTTATAGATTAGAATTAAGAAAGTTGAATTATTTTTACGATAATTAGGTGACATTTTACGAGTAAAGATATTTTCAACGAGCATTTAACCTTTGAATTTAGATGCAGATTTCCTCATTGCATCATTCTAATTTGTTGAACTGTTTAAAACCAACAAACACTAGGTAACCACTAATATAGATGTCAGATATAGAGAACTAGTGATAAAAATGGAATCTTGATAACTATTCTATGTTCAGTCACTGAATATAGTTTTATTGTATTTCTGCTAAGTATCTGATTTGCTGTATTTTTATGTTCCTCCAATTCTAAGCTTTCCGTTAACTCGTCAGTTGGTGAGATATTTTTTACCAGTCTAATATCTATCTACTAGGGTTATATGCTACAAATAACCGATTCAGTTGAAAATCATGATTTTGCATCTATTACGTTTTACAGTCGTTTAATTGATGCACATTATCATGTGAATAATGAGTCAGAAAATCGACCGGATTTTCTGATTTGCTAATCGGATAGGCTGAAGTTAATAGGAATTTATCTGAACTAATAAATATCAACACAATTTATGAGCGAAAAAGGTAAAGCAAAGGTTATTAACAGTATTTGGCCGAAATCGGACCTGTCACTGATGGTCTCAATAAACCACTAATCCTACAAGTGAGTATACAAAAATTATGAATAGAACTAAGTGGTTTGTACTTAATGCCCGTCACAGAATGAACCCAAGATATTCACGTCTATTGGTAGCCTTATAAAATATAAGCTACCTAAAGCCAAAATTAGGTTGAAACAGTTGTTGTTTTCACAGGATATCTACTTCTCGTACGAAAAGAGTATCTCGAAAATAAAATCCGCAACTACCCAGCTCTAAATCTTTAAATTTATACTTATACCCGAATTTGATGACTGAACTTAGCCCGACATTGAAAATGACACTGAATTCAAATTTGTTCGTTTTAACTCATTGTATAAAGGCATCTTAAAAATTATATAACACTCTGAAAAACAGCATTATTTATTGTATCATTTTTAGGATGGAATAAGAATATTCTCCATCAACTTTGAAATCCGACTGATATTATTTCCAATTAAAATGTTCATATTACATGCAAATTTTAACTTTAATAGTTAGGAATTAAGTAAACATACCTACTCTGAATAGGCAGATTTCATTTGATTTATTTAAAAAAAGAGCATAAAAGTCTACTCATCAATGTGATTGTGGCGAAATCATTAAAAACAAATCAAACTAATTTTACAGTGAAAATATTTAGATGGCTGTGCATGTAACTTGTATTATAGATGAATTGACCAAAAAAAAATATATAGACTGACGTTTTGGGAAAACTTAACTGTAATGAATTTATGCCGACCCCAATGTAAGATATTAAGATTGTGCTGATGCAATTATTTGCATTTCATAGTATTCGTAAATCGGTTTCATTCCTTATTCATTCGTATTGGATGGAATATTTATTGTTGTTAATTGATTTTAATTAAGTTCATCATTTTAAAAATGCTTCTACTGTTTCCTACCATGCCATTATTTATAAGCTATAATGTAACATTTACCTCTGGATTCCTCGGCATCAATTACCACGTTCATGCATTACATTAAATTCGCGTTTATGTAAAATTATTTCATGGTTGTATATTCAACATTCCGTTCACAAGTAATATCTGATTTATACAGGAATTACTGTTGAGGTTCTAGTAATTGAAGTTTAAATTACTTGAATTTGCTGCGTAGTTTGTTCTATGCTAGATATTCGGAGTTTTCGGTTTCATGCTAGATTTTACTTGTCACTGTTATCTTCAAGAAATGTTATTCACAGAAGTCCTAGATAAGTTACTGCAACTGTAACTTTAGTTAGAATATTGCAATATCTTGATTCGTTGCAGTGATGTTTGAATGCTTGTCATTTTTAGCAGTGTATTTTGTAACAAATAACCTTAGTTTATTGATAAGTATAATAAACAATGAACCTATATTATTTTCAACTGCTGGACAAGTTAGATCCCCAGAACTCACACGAAAAAGGTCCTAATTTTGGATTTGATGCTTTTGCGCATGGGCTGATCAGCTGACCTTGAGATTACATTTCCCAATCGGAAAATCCTTGACTGCTATTTATCGATGTATTATTTTAGTACGCTACTTTTGTGGTTCTCCCAAGGACAGTTTCTATCATGTATAAATAAACGCAATTTGTGTGCTTATTAACCTCATATTTTCTTGGTGCTTGTGGAATACACTTTCTACGTCTTGTCAACACTTCTTCCTCAACTTAGTGGTGCCTTGGGACGCTCGGATCAGAGTAGCCTATCGTGTCACTGAATCATTTGTCTTCGTTCTCTTTTACCGACTAAGGTGAACTCAAAATAGTTCCAAGAATATCAGTTAGCAAGCATGACATAAACTAACATGACTATAAAATGTTTTGGATATATATATATATATATATATATATATATATATATATATATATATATATATATATATTGAGAATAATTTGTGTAGAAGAATTAAACTTCATTAAAAAAAACCTTTCATTTTATTTTCACTGCAAATAACTTACTACAGATGAGATTAGGAAGCTAATTGATTCTGGCGGTCCTTGAAATGCACAAGTTGTTTGCATAAAACGAGATATTGGGCCAACTAGTTGACATCTACTTGAAAAAAATTAAACAATATTTTTCCTCATTAAATTCGTTACATTTTTATGAATTATCAATAATTAATTCATGCATTTAGTTCATGGGAATAACTATTTCCTATTATCGTTAGATTTGATGAACTTAACTGAACATATTCTCTTGATGATAAATCTTGAAATATATATTCATGTATATTCAAGTGACCTTCGCAGTGATGGTTATTATTATAAGATTTGTTTGAAATTATCATGTAGTTTGAGGCTTTAACCTTGAAAGTGATGAACTTTAGTTTGACGGAAGGGTAAAGAAATAATATTCATCTACTCAACATGTTTATTTATTTTCCTGAAAAAAGAATATGTACATATTTTTAAATTTAACAAAATAATCTACTCAAACAACCGTTCATTTCACCACAAATGACTGTTCTCTACGTGATCCATATTCAAAAATGTACAAAATAATCCTCGCAAATTTCACTTCTCACTACAATTTATTTATTCATCTCGTACAAATATTTGTGTAAAGCCTTTATGGCTGGAACAGCATCACTAATAGATTTAGAGGGAGTGAGCTATGAAGCAAAGTACTCAATAACACTTTTATTAGACAAGTATAATAAGCAATGTTACTTCCAGTCTTTCAGCAAATATTAAACTCTCCTTCTAACTTACGTTGCATCTCTTCACCTGGATACCATATACTGACAAAAAGCCTAATAGCTTATTTCAAAATGTAGAATTATTTCGGGACAGCCAATACAGTAAACCTACATTTTTATCAAAAATTTCCAACCAAATATTCCGATAGATAATAAAAGGTACTAACTTAACAAACAACACAACAGAGAGAATGGAACATAATTTCAAACACTTACTGGTTAGTGAATTCTCCAGCGCATACTACAACTTTGTAAACAGTATCGTCGCATTCTGTGCTGAAATCAGTGCTAAGACTCAATTTCAGCGTAACATTCGCTCGAAACTGCTTATATGAAGAAAAAAAAAGTGAAAGAATACTGATTACTCAATTAATTTAAATGTTAAAATTATGAACTACATAAAAGGATTCTCACATTAAATATGGACGTTTTTATAATGTAAATGAAACGCTCACTATGAAGTGACATTATTCAGAAAAAAATACCAGACATCATCTAGGATCAAACTTTTGTTTCATCCTAGTTTGAAGCTAATCACTGCTAGTAAAACATCACCTTATACAGTATTAAATGAATTTCTTAGAATCACATTGGACAACCGTGTCTTATGAGGACATTAGAGTTGGAAGGAAGTAGTTAGTCATTTAAGATAGTATTGCACAATGTCACAAAAAGTCTATAATCGGAAAATAAATTTCATGTCCACGATTCAAGATGATCGCAACAAAAATGATGAAGGAAAGCTTTCCACTACTGGAAGTTTGAATTATGATAACCTTTAGATCATTCATAGCATAATAACTAAAGGTGTCTTTTTCCTTTAGTTAGAAGAATCAGTAATTGCTTACTATCTGTTTTCACTTGTCTGATTTAGAGAAATTATGATTCCCATCAGAATCATGAATCGATCAATTTTAGGCGACCATCAGAAACACGGAAGCGGTGGATGGCTGTTTCGTTCTATTATGGTACTCATCAATAGATTGAGTGTTCACACACAAGATTGAAGGTCCTGGGTTCGATTTCCCTCTGCGAGGTCGTGGTTGTACACTACTGAGCAGTCCTATATTGAGATAAAACGACCGTCCAGTACTTCCGGGTTTCTGATGGTGGTTTTGCATTGATCGGTTCATGATTCCAATCAAACTCAACGTTCTCTACAACACGATAATGAGAGTCCTGAAATCGATTGTATGTATAATGAAAGTTGCAAACACTATGTACTATTTTCTAATCTTAAGCAAAAGTAACCGAAAATCAGATTTTGTCTAATGTTAATTACACTTTAGTCATTTAGGAGTGAATTCCGAAATTTCTAAGGCAATTAATTTTGAATTTACTTTTTATAAATAATCCATGAAAATCAATTAATCGTTAATAGTTCTCATCATTTAATCAGTTCATTTATATTATACATATAAATCATGCGTTAATCTTTATTAAATCATCATTAGAAACCTGGAAGCACTAGATAGCCGTTTCGCCCTGGTATGGGACTCATCAGTCGTGCGCATCGACGAATCCTACTCGCGGGAGTTCACGCGCAAGATTGAAGGTCCTAGGTTAGTATTGGATGCGCACTGCTGATGAGCCCTAAACTAGGACAAAACGGCCGTCCAGTGCTTCCAGGTTTCTAATTTTGATTTAACAAAGATTGACTCATGATTTCTGTATGTAAAAACACTTATATCCATAACTCTAATTTTAAAAATCATTTATCTTACTTAGTGCCAGTGATTTGAGTGCTTTGAATTAACAATATCATATGAAATTTGAAAGGTTAGATTTTACTGTAGAATTATTTCGGTGAGACTAAAAGTTTTAGTAATCGTTCTTCAACGATGAAATTGAAAAAAATTTCTACTCACATCCTATTATATGAAGAATGTGTTTAACAAAACATCATTCATGATCACCAGTGAAAGAGTGTTCAATAAAAGAGAACAGTCAGTCAATTGCAACGTAGAACTTCGTACGTATGTACATAAGTTCACGTTGCCATACCACATTAACACAGAGACGCAAATGTCAAATCAAATCACATAGTGATAAAGATTGTAGAGGTATTAATGGTAATGAAGAAGACTAGGGTTCGAAGATATTATTCAAGAAGTATAATTCAGTGAGATAAGGTTAGAAAGACAAAGGTATAGGTGCTGACGATTCCAGAAGATTAGGATTTGAGAGAGCACAACGAATGGATGCACGTGCGCCATTGCAAACTATTTTGAGCCATATCATTCAAGGTCTCTAACCATTGGTGACATACGTCTCGCGGACCCCAACCAGGTAGTCTACATCTACCAACATGACTCAGTCCACTTATCAGTGACTTCATGGATTTCTGTCATGTTTTGGTCTGGCCGCCCCTAACTTTGTTCCAACTTACTCCTACACCACAAAACATAGCTCGTCGAGGCAGTCGGTGGTTAGGCATTCGTAACACATGTCCCAAAAGAGAACACATTCTGATGTTTAGTGACTTTTTGATACGATTAGATCAGATTTCAAACAACATGCATTTATATGTAAATAGGGAATGACATGTTTTTTTCCAACTATCTCAGACAAAAATATCGTCTGTATGTATGCGATAACAGACATAGTAGACTTTGTAGCTGTTCTGATCAACTAATTATCATCACTATTATCATGACAATATATAACCTATTAAAGTCAGTATAGTCATCATTACATAATCATGAAAATATGTGAATCACAATTGTCTATGTGTTATGGAAAATAAATAACTTCACTAAGGTCACTTACTTACTATGTGTGTCGAAACAATTGCATAATCAAATAACGATTCAGTTAATTAGATATTATCACCATGTCTATCTAACTAGTTAACTGAATCAAACTAAAGCAGTACATGATGTTTAAAATTATACAAAAAATATGTACAAATGGAAAGTGGTTAAATCAATTTAACCCTTTTATTATTATTATTATTATTATTATTATTATTATTATTATTATTATTATTAATATGTTAGCTGATAATGCTTACTCATAAAAATTTCATGATTGACGCATAAAAATGCCTTTTGTTTACATGTACATGTATTATTCGATTTTACTGAATAGCCAATAATATGTGAATCAATCTACATGTCTCGAAGTATTGGAAAGCTTGGAGATAAACTATAATATTTACTAGTTAATAAATAAATGAACTTCATGACATTATGTGATAGTTTAAAATTAGTTAAATTAAATAAATCTAAATTTTTCTGAAAAATTGAGAATTGAATTTTAAGTATAAAAAGAAAATGCTGAAACAATCATTTAAAACACAAGGTTATTTCATGACTGTTTTGTTAAGCACAATGTTCATTACATTTTGACTCGATGATTCAAAAGAATCGTGTTACGAATGCAGTCGAAATTTCGTTGATTTCATCTTGAGTACTGAAATGAATTCTCAGTGATGTAACATGTAATGAAACATGTATTCGCATTTTCTCCAGCAAAAAGTTTATTTTATTTATTTAAACAAAAATGTCAAAAGTTGTCAATGATTTCTATAATTTATTGTCAAAAAAAGATTTATTTTTGATTCAAACGTGATTTATAGGCAGTTTATGAAAAGTTGTTATGGAAAATTAACACTTAATTATGTATGCACATTTTATCTCTGTAGGAAGAAGTACTTACTTACTAACATACTCACGCCATGTTAACCCCAATGGAGCATGGGCCGCCGACCAGTAATCTCCAACCTACTATGTTCTGGGGTTCCCTTTCGAGTTCTTTGCAACTTTGGTTCATTTTTCTCATATCTTTCCCTATTTCTCGACGTAATATGTTCCTTGGCCTTCCTCTTCTCCTTTTAACTCGAGAATTGCAAGTGAGGGCTTGTCTTGTGACGCAGTTGTGTGCTTTCCGCAGTGTGTGTCCTATCCACTTCAAACGCTTCTTCCTGATTTACTACTCCACTGGAATCTGGTTTGTTCTCTCCCACAGTAGGTTATTGATAATGCTGTCTGGCCAAAGAACCCGAGGTATTTTTCAAAGACAACTGTTAATGAGTGCTTGTATCTTTTGGACAATGGCTTTGGTAGTTCTTCAAGTTTCCGTTCCATACAGTAGAACTGTCTTGACATTTGTATTGAAAATCCTGATTTTGGTTTTGTTTGAAAGTTGTTTGGAGTTCCGGATATTTTTCAATTATAGAAACGCAGAACTTGCTTTGCTGATCCGCGCCCTCACATCTGCATCGGATCCACCTTAATTGTGGATGATGCTGCCCAGATGTGTAAAGAATTTTACGACCCCTAAGGCGTGTCCATAAAGAGTGATTTGGTTGGTGCATGTTGTGTTGTGTCGGAGAATCTTGCTTTTCCCTTAATGTATGTTGATACCTGCTGCTGCTACACTGGTCGTCTTCTCTTTCATTTGTTGTTGTGTGTGCAATAGAGGAGCCAGATCATCTACGAAGTTCAGATCGTCCAGCTGCGTCCTAACTGTTCATTGAATACTGTGCTTCCCCCCCCCAGATGTTGACGTCTTCATAATCCAGTCAACCACCAGGGGAAAGGGAAAGGGTGAGAATAAACAACCTTGTCTGACACCAGTATTTACCTCCAACGAGTCTGTCAGCTGACCTCCGTTCACGATTTTGCATTTGAATCCATCATAAGAATTTTGTATGATGTTGACTATCTTCTCAGGCACACCGTAGTATCGAAGAAGCCTCCATAGTGTTGTCCTGGCCACGCTATCAAATGCTTTCTCGTAGTCAATGAAGTTGATGTAGAGTGGTGAGTTCCGTTCATTTGATTGTTCCACAATGATAAGTACTGTTGCAATTAGGTCAGTAGACGATCGACCCTTACGAAATCCGGCCTGTTGATCTCGAAGTTGGGCGTCTACGAAGTCCTTCATTCTGTTTAACAATACCCTGTTGAAGACTTTGCCTGGTATTGAAAGAAGAGTGATGCCTCTGTAGTTCTCACACTTGCTCAGATCGCCTTTCTTTGGTATTTTGATCAGGTATCCTTCTTTCCAATCTGATGGTACTTGTTCCTCATCCCAAATCTTCTTGAAGAGGATGTGAAATATTTTCGCAGTTGCTTCTACATCTGCTTTCATTGCCTCTGCTGGAATGTTGTCTGGTCCTGCTGCTTTGCCGCTCTTGATTTGTCTGATGGCCATCCTCAATTTTTGTGGGCTAACATCGTTTGGGATGTCCGTAGATGCTGGTTCGATGTAGGGTGGGTTCAGTGGAGCTGGTCGATTCAAGAGTTCCTCTAATTACTCTACCCAACTATTTTTCTGTTCTTCAATGTTGCTAATTACTTTGCCTTCCTTGCTTTTCACTGGTCGTTCTGGTTAACGATAGTTTCCGGCGAGCTTCTTTGTTGAATCGTAGAACTGTTTGAAGTTTCCTTCTCTTGCAGCCTTTTCCGCCTTCATTGCTAGACCTTCCACATATTTTCGTCTGTCGGCCCCGATGCTCCTCT